TGAACAAAACCACCAGCTTCGGGCAGATAGTGCAGGCTCTCTAGTTGACGCTGCTCAATATCGGCGATTGATAGGACGCCTCTTGTACCTTACTGTTACACGGCCAGATATCACCTATGCCGTTAATATTCTTAGCCAATTTGTTGCATTGCCACGGCAAGAGCACATGGATGCTGCAACTCGTGTATTGCGTTACTTGAAAAGGGCACCAGGACAAGGTCTGTTACTCCCTAGAGCTGGGAGTTTAACACTCACTTCTTACTGTGATGCTGATTGGGGAGGGTGCCTCACCACACGTCGCTCATCCACAGGATATTATATCTCTCTCGGTGGTTCCCCGGTCTCTTGGCGAACAAAGAAACAATCTGTGGTTTCCCGGTCATCGGTGGAGGCAGAGTATAGAGCAATGGCTGTCACTGTGAGTGAGTTATTGTGGTTGCGTTGGCTACTGTCTGAACTTGGTGCTTGTCAAGTGCATGCCACACCATTGTATTGTGGCAATCAAGCAGCTTTGCATATTGCAGCCAACCCAGTTTATCATGAAAGGACTAAACATGTTGAGATGGACTGTTATTTTGTTCGCGAAAGATTTCGGTCTAATGAGATTGCTCCGAAAAAAATACACACAAAGGTCCAGCTCGCTGATCTATTCACTAAAGCGCTAGGAAATGATAGATTTCATTTTCTTCTAGGCAAGTTGGGTGTTGCGGACCTCCACACTCCAACTTGAGGGAGGCGTGATGAATATGGAAGAAAATATCACGTATCATATTTGGAGATCAAATCAGCTGTTAATATTCTGTTTTCCTTGTATATAGCCTGTGGTTTACCTTTTATGTAGCTTACCTTAAATATTTCTTCTTGTATTTATTCTGCCATTAGCAGTAATGAAAAATAACATTTTCCCTTCCTTCTCTTCTCACCTTACGGCTTCTAGTTTTCAAACAATTACGCCATTTTCATCATACTAGGCCGGGGATCCGGCCCCTGGGATTAGCTGGTCGACCTTTACACAGTCCGACCTCGCGAGTTCGACCCCGACTTGCGTGTCCTCTAACCCTCGCCCTGTGACTATAGAGAGGTAGCGCCGCATGTCGTAACGCTCCACAACCTAGGTGGTAGCCGATGCATGCTCGCTACGTGCCGTCCATGCTGGAGAGCCGTGATGTGTCCCCTCCTTTCTCTATAAATAGCCCATTTATTGCTGTTGAGAGGGACTTTTTTGGGCTACTTTCTTGAACCGGAGCTTCCTGACCCACTGTTAGTGGACCCCGAGCTCCGATACTGTATACTCCGTGCGATATACCTTACGTACTTCGGGTAATTAACCATATCAATGATAAAATTTTGTGAATCCATTTTTAAGTAAATCGAGTTTGTTCAGCGTTAATTAAGACCCACATCCGACCATAGAATTTATGTCTTTGCATTGTGTAAAGTGTATGTACGTAGGGTGCATGCGGATGAGGGAATTGGGATGTTAAGTAGGTTTTATGTCTTTGTCATTGACAATTGGCAACCACTTTAATTTTCTTGTCTCAATGCCATTGATGCTAATTTGTAAAGGTGTCTGATTAAGCACGCAATTTGAAGGACAGTTTTATCTTCTACTCTTCATTCCCTCTACCTGCTCCGATCCTTTTAATTAGCTACAAAATTTTAATTACAAAAATCCTCATCACATCATTCCAATACAGCAGTCATGAGCAATGTCATTTAATTTTGTGAAGAGTACAATATGTGAAGGCCTGCAAGTGATCAAAGTGTTACTATCAAAATTTGTAACCCATATGTCTATGCATTTCACTACTTATATATTAATAATTAGGCTAACCACATTAGTGGGTTTTTCACAATTTTTTAGACAAACAAGACTTGTGTGGATGTGAGGGAATTTTTGAGGTCTTCTTGCAAATGGTGATTTTTTGTGGGACCTGCAAGAGAGAGAAAATGGACGGGAAAAGCGATTGTGCATGCGTGTGCTCCACTAATCGCGCCCGTTGGTCAGAGCTCTTTTTTTTTTTTTTAGTTGCCTCAGATTTGTCCTTTTTAATTTTTTTGTCTTCTTCTCTTTCCCTCATCTATTTCCTAGTTGGCACCTCAAAATCCTCATTATTGAGGATGCCTTTACTAATGCATCTCTCATTCCCATTTAGATTCTCGCTGTATATCCTTAAAACGACATTTTCTCTACTCATTCATATCACAATACTTAATGACTATCATTTTAAAACTCGTAAAATTGACTTTCATTTCCTGACCCAACAACACTACTTACAACATGTTTTGGCAAAGCCCCAGACCAAAACAGTTGCAGCAATCAATATATGTTTGAGGTAAAGCTCCTAATCATTATATTCATCCTCATCATTCAAGAGCTACTCCAGACTATTAAAATGCCACCTTCCAAGTATTGCTTCTCACTTTTGGTAGTTATGGCGTGCTTTGACTTAATAACTTGTCTTTTAAAAGCATCTTTTGCTTTTCTTTTCTTTCCCATATACTCTATATTTTCTTTGTGTCTTTTTAGGGTATGAGGAGATTATGTTCTCATAGATTATTCATGAAGACAGCTCCCAATCACCAACAACCTTAGTGTTCCCAAACATTACTTTGTTAAAGAAAAATATGGAAATGAGTGGATGGGTTGAGGAACACAGCCAACACAAAAGCTATGTAAACTTTCAACTCATATAAAAAGACATAAGTGGAAGGTAAAGAAAAGATATTTTATCAAACAAATGATGATGGAAATATTATATTAGTTTAATTGCATTTATTATAATTCAATTTATTTATTTATTTTGGTTTATTTACATAGCTTTTGTGTTGGCATAAGTCTTTTCCACCTAAAAATTATTTAATATAACGACCTAAAGAATACTAAAGGAGTATGAACGGTGAATCACAATCAATCATGTTGTTAAAGGAAAATTCAAATATTGACCAAGTCCTTCATTGCAAATAATAAACTCCAATTATTAAGATAAATATATTTACTTAATAATCAAAATAGATTGTGATGGGTCTTATGGTCAATTGTTATACCATGAACTAGGGTTCATAGTGCTTCAATTTGTTTATATGTATAGAAACAATTAGCTACATGTATACTCGTACAGAATACATCAAATGCAGGTACATAATCTGAAGATTATTTTTGGACCATGGTCCACAATGCAAGGTAGATCCTAGTCCATGATATAATTTCCCTCTTAGACCTAGTGGGCCATAGTTGCTCAATCGGTCTCAGGTGAGTAACCCAATGGGATGAGATTGAGCCTGTATATATAAGGTAATAGAATAATTGTTTGATTTGGAGAAGGTATGAAGGCATCAATAGTTATGTTGTGCATCCGTATGCACCATGCATGGTGCATACGAATGCCAAAACGACGTCGTTTTATTAAAAAATGTGCGTCTCTCCTTTAAAAAAAATTCAGGTTTGATTCCCAGCAACAACATTATATTGTTCATTCATTCTGGAATTTTAGTTCATAGATTATGGAATTATAGTTCATTGATTATGGAATTATAGTTCATCGATTATGGAATTGTAGTTCATCGATTCTGAAATTTTAGTTTATAGATTATGGAATTTTAGTTCATTCATTCTGAAATTTTTAGTTCATAGATTAGATTATGGAATTATAGTTCATCGATTATGAAATTATAGTTCATCGATTATGGAATTTTAGTTCATATATTGTTGTTGGGAATCGAACCTGAATTTTGTTTTTTAAAGGGGAGACGCGCGTTTTATTAAAACGACGTCGTTTTTGCATCCGTATGCACCATACCATGCATGGTGCATACGGATGCACAACATAATTTGCCTGAAGGCATGGAAGGCCTAGGGAAGTGAGGTTGTGGGCTAGGGAGATAATGATCGGCGGGGGAGGGGAGTGGGGAGGGGGGGGGGGGGGTGGTGTGGCGCGCTATGGCACGATCGATCTATGGGGCACCCAAGCTAGCCGTAGTCGTGCAAGTCTCGACACAACAAGGACCGTTTCTTGGATAGAGACAATGAGGCAGTTACGGGGGTATTAGGCTTGAATATTCGCGAGTAGAATCATGGTGCATTTGCGAGGTGACTAGTGGGTAGATGAGAGGATTTGGGCAATGAGGACCACATGTTTAGCATGAAATTCAAGGTAACATATGCTATAAAAAGGTGTCTTGCCATCCTTCGAACATCATTGTTTTTAAATAGAGCACATCTCCGGTCACCTATAGAGCCAAAACCTTACGTTGTACATATATATCTTTTAGGCCTAGACCTGTTGTCAAGTCTTAACTATATTATTCTTGGACTTAGACCCCTATTAAACCTTAACTTTATTATTTATTTTCATTGTAACCCAAATGTAAATATTGTATGGGTCTATCCAATTACAATCATTATTGTGCATTATTGTGCAGACTATAATTCACACAACTATGTAAATCATATTATCAAATAATGTATATTTAATACACAAATAATGTATTTTTAATATATTAAAATTAAAATTTTACATTATATTTAAAGAAAGCATATTATTTAAATACTGAAAATACATTATTTTGTATAATGTACATTCACTACATGAATAATATACTTCTAATAAATTAATCCACAGAGGACAATGTGGACCAGTAATTTGCCATCCAATTCATATTAACCATATTTAACTTTTTTTTCCCCTCACCTTACTAATGCTCCAGCCTGATTTTATGTTATCCGATCCATTAAAAACTATCAAATCTCATTTAATAAAATATTACTATCCCTAATTATTCATTGTTGCCATTAGCCAATTTCAAAGACTAGAAGATAGTAAAAGTAGTGTGGATAATCCAATTCCCAAACTCAAAAGCAGCAAACCAAACACCCCCTTTTCAATTCTCGTACAAACTAAGCTCCTTTCATTTTAAGGAAAATGCCGCCCAAAATTTTAGAATTTTTGCTTTTTTTTTTTTTTTTTTTAAATCGACGCAACACCAACAATACAACATAGTTCAGATCATAGCGAAAATCTCACTATCAAGTTAGTATAACAATCAAAGGAGACCCAAAAATCCCCATAACAGTAGAGGAAGTGTGAAAGTAGGGAACATATCTAAAGGCTTCCACTGCTAATACTGAACAAAAAGTATTAAATCATTGAATCTGCTGCCTCAAGGCTTGTTGAAGATACAAATATCACTTCTTCACTCAACGAACAAAATAGTACTGTCTTATAAGTAAACGAGTGCAGATAGAACTTACTTCTTCCCTCCCCCGGAAACATTGAACTTGAAGAATATTACATCTCCATCTTGGACCACATATGTCTTTCCCTCCTGCCTATACTTTCCACCAGCCTAAAAGAGAGCGGTGTTGTTATTTTTACTAATATTTGTGAAAACACGCGGAGATGGAAATAGTATATTCTTAAGCATCAATGAAGAGATGATGGCAATAGAAAATCATAAATCTTGGTTCTTCTTGAAAACAAAATTGCTTGTCTAAATCCCAAATATTTATAAATTCTCCTCCACAAAATTCTTCAGAACATATTATTGTTTGAGATTATTAAGAAATTGGGTTTTTCCTGCATGCACATCACCTGAATTCTTGATTTTCCTTTCTCCAGAAAAATGAAATTTTCTCCGGTTTATAAACGTACAAACTTTAAATTTCAAATAGAATAGATGAGTTGCTTCTAGTGTCCAAACTGAATATGAAAAAGTGAACTGTACTTTTAAGATATAGGACATGCACAAAATAAGGGAATACCTTAACAGCAGGCTCACTACCAAGTTCCTTTAGATCTTCAAATTTCATGACCTGAAAAAAAAAAAAACAAGAAATATTGTTTAACAATTTTCTAGCAGTGACTAAAACATATTATATAAGAATTGGTTGCTATAAAGACAACATAGAGACTAGTAAATGCTCAATTTGTTAATCTAATTCAAACAACGTAGAACCACAAATTGATCCATTGCTTCCAACCACAAGGATTTTCAAAAAGGCAATTGATCACTAAAGTCTAAAATTACATAACAAGATCAAAGAATTGTGAGAAACTATGTGGTCCTTTTGTTTGACAAAAGTAGCAGCCAATGCAACTTTCACGATGGAAATACATCTGTGTGTTTGTTGCGGAGCTTATCTTGGAGCTCACCAGCTCAGAAGAGTGGAAGTTTTGCCAAACAATATGAACATATAAAGACTTATTAGTCCAAACAAGAGCCAAGAGGAAAACCCTTGTTATTCAAGAAGCTCCAAATTGAAGCATTAAAGAAAAACCTTTATGAAGAACCTCATAGCCTGGCAAAACAAGTACTGATGCAAAACAGTCCAATAGATGACTACTCATTCTCTGATATTGAAACAAAATACTAATGGTAATACTCTTGAAGCTTACTTCAGGAGGAAAAGGACAAATATATATATTTTTGTAAATAAAGCTTTCATCCTAATCCAGTCAATCAAATGCATCTAAATACCTCAGCACAAATGAATCCTCTCTCAAAATCAGTATGAATTGCTCCTGCAGCTTGAGGAGCCTTTGTCTGGCGGCGAATTTGCCAGCATTTAACCTGTAAAAACCAATTGATTATTAGACAAATCTACCACACTAGTGGTTATAAATTCAGAAAAATTTTAATTAAAAAAAAAAAAAAACTTCAAATACCTCATCTGGCCCAGCTGTGAAGAAATATATGAGATTAATTGCAGAAAATCCAGTCTTTATGATTTTTGGAAGGGCACTGAAACATAATGAATTTCCAATAAGTAAAACATGTTCCATGTATATTTAAGATAGTTTGGCTCTTTGCCATTAAATAAAGAAAAACTATGCGCCATGTAGCTTGTAGCTCAATGACACCTATGTGGCTCTCCCAAATGGGAGGTCACAGGTTCGAACCCCAGTAGGGGCATTGACTCTTTGAGCTTCAATTGGTTGAGAAAGTATATATGGACAGATACTACATTGTAGAGTCAGTAGTACTCGGAAAAAAAAAAATGCAGACATTAGGCAAACAAAATTGAAAAGAATGTGCATTACAGATTGAAATTGGAATGAAAAGGAATCTGCAGTTCCATACATCTTTCAGCTTAACTTGAAAATTGAAACAAGGGGAATGATAAGTAATTTACTAGTCAAAGTAGTTTAAGTACGTATGGAATAAAGAAATGCTACACTCCAGTGACTTACTCCCACCCAGGATAGAGGTTTCATTATTCATATGGCAGCCAATACAGTTCACCAAATAACATCCATAACATGTGACCAAAATCGCAAAATCAGTAAATAACAATAATTTCCTCTTAAATCCTACACTTCATTGCATCTATTTTAGAAGACTTTAATATCCCTTTTCAAGTAAGGACATGCAATACTTCCATAGTTCCATTAAGCACTAAAATGAGACAGCAATACTGTCTTTGTACACTTCATAGCATCTATTGTAGAGGACTTTAATATCCCTTTTCAAGTAGGACATGCAATACCTCCATTAAGCACTAAAATGAGACAGCAATACTGTCTTTGTACTAACCTTTGTACACTTCATAGCATTTATTTTAGAGGACTTTAATATCCCTTTTCAAGTAAGGACATGCAATACTTCCATTAAACATTAAAATGAGACAGCAATACTGTCTTTGCACTAACCTTTGAACCTTGTTCTCCTCACAATACTTTGCAGCTTCATCAGGTGGCATATCAGCAAGACTCCTTTCCAAAGCAGCACTGAAAGGAATAATGAGTTCGCCACCATGCTCTTGCACCCTAAAAGGTTGAGAAAGGCATGTGTTGTTTAAATGTTATGCTTGACAAAAGCAAAAAACTCCATAAGACAAAATAAAATAAAAATTTGGCCTTCGTGTTTAGTATAAAGTATAAACATATTTCAGTATTTTGTCTAGAAAAAAGCATACATAAGTGTTCTCTAAGAGTTTTTATTTTCCTCTTCAAAACATCCAGTGCCATGATTCACAAAACAAAGCAATCAAATAAATTCACAAAACAAAGGTGCCACAACCATAAGAGAAAATAGATAATTAGATAGAATATGAATTATACTGATACGGAAGCATTTAGATATCTCTCATGATTAAATTATATTCTGTAGTTGTTGAAGTGCACAGTGATCTCCTTTCCTTCAGTAGAGGACACCCTACTTCCCATATGCATAAGTTTTTTTTTTCAGTCAGATATTTAGATCCTAGCTGTCTTAAAAAGAATCGTAGTAATTCATCAATCTACATAATTTTCAATGTGGAAACCCATTTTGATGGATTGTAGAACACACAAAAAGATGTTTTAATGGGAAGAATAGTTCCCTTCTTTTCTTATTTTTACAAAATTGCTGTCAATGTGGTAAAATGTAGACAATTTCAAAAATATAAATCTATTCTGAAGAATAATCACCATGCTTTTGTAGTAAAAGACAGATTGTGCATTTTAAACCTTTGATAGGTATAGATAAAATTGCGAGTACAATAGGTTTTCTGGAAACTCATACAACAAAGTTTTCTCCATCCTTTTTGTTTAATCAACACGACAAAGGGGCCAGGTACTAGAAATCACCAGTATACAGAAATAACATACCAAGCATGAATCTTAGGAAGGAACTTGTTCTTTTTCCGTTGATAATCTTTCTCATTCATGTTAACCTGTACATGATCATAATAAGATCCATAAGTACATGGTGTGATAGAAAAAATACTAAAGCAAGGCACTAAAATCCTACATCAAAAAATTATAGAGTGATATTGGTTGACATCAAAATTAGTACAAACAATTCCAAGCAGTAACTGATAATCTCTCATCCCCTTTGTTATAATGGAAAAGGGGAAGGAAAACTAAAGAGAAAATATTAAGTGAGAAAAGGATGAATTTGCCTTCAATGCTAAATTATAGAATTTTGTGGCCATCATGTGCTCTTGAACTTCGAAAGCGAAAAATGTCTAATTTGCAAAAATTATAGGCTTATAGCATGTAAAAGGATTACAAGGATGTGATAAAATAGCATATTCAATATCCACCAATTTCTGTGCATAATCTGGGCATGCCATGTCAAAAATGGGTATCAAACCAAGGGTATGCAAATTTAGGAAAATGTATAATTAGGATGCATTTTCCAACTTTAGAACTTTTACTAAATTAAAGTGAAGGAAACAGAATCACCCCAAGGATGTCTATTAAAATTCAATAAAGTACCAGTATACATGAAGAGAAAAAAACAAGGGGCACGGTGGGGAAGCTTAAGGGAAGGGAAAATACATACTCTTTGATGGAAGTGTATCTCCAACCCTCAAATTTGTTGGTTTAATAGGAGGAGATGCAAAAGTGATCGTTATTCTTCACTACATATTTACATTCAGCTTTTTGATGGTTTTGAAATAATGGTGTAATACATCAATGCCTATAACAAACAACAGACCAACAAGCCTGCAACTCCAGATAATTCTCTCTGTAGCATTACTGATATGACATAAACACATAAGATGGGAATGATATCCAAAAATCAGAAATATAGCATTTCCGAACTGAACGCATTAGATTAAGTACTCCAACTTTTCTCAAATAGAACAAAAACAACCTATTGAATTTGCTATCAGAGCTACCCTTTCAACTTCTAGATTTAGAAGTTTCCTTCTCATGAGATGCTATTCAATAGCAAATAAACATTGTTGTTCTTCCCTCCTATAAATTTATTTAATTCCCTTTTTCGCCTTTTGTTCCTTTTTAAAAGTTGGTTAAAAGAAAAGCACCACTCACATGTGCACCCGTGCATGCAGTGACTAGGAAAGATTTGCACAAAGACGCCTATACTTACCAAATAAACAACAGGTTTTGCAGTAAGCAACTGAAAAGTATTCAATATCTCAATGTCAGCAGCTTTCCATTCCCCCAGACGGGCATCTTTACCCTCATCAAGAGATGTTTTGACCTGTAAAAACAGGCATTAACAGCATCGTGATTGGAATACAACAAAATTGCAAATATAGGAAATTTGTATATATACCAAGTTCAACATGAGTATCCATGTTTGCAATTATAATTTTTATGGGGAGCAAAATAAGTCAATGCACAAATCCAAAGCCAGAAAAAAAAAAAAAAAAAAAAAAAAAAAAAAAAAAAAAAAAAACCTTAAAAATGTAGAGATACATGGAGACTTGAAATGAAACCTATTGTTGATCTAATTAGTTACTATACACAAAGGAAATACATGCCAGCTGATCAATCTCTTACATAGTCAAAAGCAAATTTCTTTGGTGTATTCATAGTGACCATAAGCAGGGTGACGCAAGTTAGATGATCAGTATGGAATAAGTTGTATAATATTTCACTTACGAATTACGATCACATAACCAATCCATTGTATAAGGAACTAACATCAATAAGAATTCATCCAGGCCATCACCAGATTGTCTTAGTTCGCACTGACCCATTATTATATATAATAAATTGACTCCTGTTACAGTAGAGGCCATGGATAGGAGGTAAGAAATTTCAACAACTGGTATTAAAGTTAAAGTGGAATACATGTTACAGCAAAATGGTTGAGATATTATAATTAATCCTGGGAGAAAATCAGATATCCAATCAAACAACTAGTTACTTACCATTCCATATGTTTAGGGAGCTAACTATATTCAGGCAAATATACTTTCCACCTAATAACTACTAAGCAGCAGGTTGCAGCAAAAATATAGTTAAGAATACATTGATACATAAATGATGTACTAATATATCAGGGAATTTTAAAAATTAAAAAGGAATCATTCAAATCCAATAGAAAGCAGACCTTCAGACACAGTTCATGTTCTATTTTCAATTGTTTGTCATTGCTCCTCTTCATGCTCTTTTCAAGATCCTCAATCCTCTTCTCCATGAACTCAATATCCTAATGAAGCACAGAGCAACAGAACATTAGAATACCATCCCAATGAATGTGTCATGCAGTTTACTCATAATAATATAATATACTGTTGGGGAATAGGAGATACAAGAATATTCGCATTTAATTTATACGAAAGCTTGCCAAATTATGAAAATGGAGAGACAGATCACAAGTTTCACTGTAGTATACTGTATACAAGTTTACATGTCTGTCTCCAAAGGTCTCACTCTCAAGAATATTAATAATAACGCTCTTATTTCCTTTCTTCATTCCAACTTGAGCCTAACAAGAACTAAACAAGTTTGCAATTTATTTGAAACCAGGAAAAGTTTATACACTATAGTCCTTGATGTGAATATCTACACCATTTCTTATATAAGCTTGTTTGCCTCTCACGTGTATCCTTCTACTAGGATAATGTCATAATATATTTTGACAGTAAGGCTACCCATTGTGTAATCAAATTATCATTTGACAAGGAATTCACCCATTGCTTAGTTTAAAATCCAATGTAAACTTAAAAACCGAATTATTGTGAACAATCAATGAAATGATTGCATGTAACCTCAAAAAGCCTTGCCTACATTACTCTTATAGTACATAAATCTCCATTGCAGAAAGGAATGAAGGACACAACTTATTTATCATGTATTCAATAAACACATACTGACATACCTTAAGCCTCAATTCCTCACTAATAACCTCCAAATCTCTCACAGGATCTACAGTATCATCAACATGTATAATATCTGAATCTTCAAAGGCACCTGTAAAACACAGAAATTCAGTAAAACTTCAGTAACCACTGCTGATGCATAAATTCTTATAAAACATAATGGAAATATCAAAAAAGGGGGTGGGTCAGAACTAGCCGTCCTGAATAGTGAACTAGGACAAAGGATAATTAGAAATTCAATATAACTAAGTCAATCAGATCATAAGAGATTTTACAAGATCCACCATAGAAGCTATGGAAATACTCAAAGCCCTTGCACACTCAACTCCTACATATGTCATATACTAAGTCATACTAAGTCATATGGCCGGTATCAAAGGGAGCATAATTGATTGGTTTCCTGACTTCATCAAGGGTGTATACAAGCAACAAAATAAAGAAAATGAACGTGAGAATAACCATCTTACGTAAGACATGGAAAATGCCATCAACTGCACGGATATGAGATAAGAAACTATTCCCCAGTCCTTGTCCTTCATGAGCACCTCTAACAAGTCCAGCTATATCATGAATTTCTAGGAAAGCTGACACCTGTTCATTGACCATACTAAATTACACAACCAAAACAATCAAGGTAGCTGATTCCACACATCTAATGAGCAGAGTAGCTAACATAGCACTCACAAAATTGGTAAAAAAGATACAAACGCTTTGCAGCATGAAATTTTCAAATCCAGATCACAAACCTCACTCTTTGGCTTGTACAGTTGGCACAGCCATTCAAATCTCTCATCTGGTACATTCACTCGAGCCTCATTGGGCTCAATAGTGCAAAACGGGAAGTTCTCTGCGGGAATTGACAACTTCGTAAGCGTGTTAAAAAGTGTGGACTTTCCCACATTTGGTAATCCAACCTGAAATATTAACAAGTTTTTAAAAAATAAATAAACAAAAATAAAAACAAGAAACTCAAAATGATGTGCTAAAAACGCTAAATAACTATAACCAGATAAAAATCAATAATTATGACGCAAATAAAAATAATAATAATACAGATTCCACAACTGCACACTTAAAATGAAGAACAACTTTCCTCAACAAACAATTGAGACGCTCTAAAACATATATACAGAAAGAAAGAGAAGCGAGAGAGGGAGATAAATTACGATTCCAATTTTGAGGTGAGACGAGAAACGGCCGAGAATGGGCCGTTCAGCCGGAACTTCTTTGCCTTTAGCAGCTTTTGGAGGCATCTCTTTTGCAGCTGAGAAGATCAGAAGACAAAGCGAAGAACTTCAAGCTTCCTGATAGATGTAGGAGCTTTAGGGTTTAGCGATTGTAGTATAGTACTGCAGATACGCAGCTCCTCAGCGATGGCGGCGTGGTGGAGCTGTGCCACTGAAATTGGTAATGGGGTGAGAGTAAGTGAAGGGAGCTTCCAGACAAAGCAGAGGCATTGTTGGGCTACTTGAACTAGCCCGTAATTTATATGGGCCTTTTCTCTTTAAAACATCAAGAAGCCCATGACCCATCAACAAAGAGAGCCCAAGAGGAAATTTGTGAAGTTTAATGTACATCAAAATAATTATTCATCAGCCTTATGCATTGGATGAGTAGATAACAAGTAGGAGTGGGCACTTCGGTTCGGTTTATCCGAACCAAATCAAACCGAATCGAATTAGTAATAGCAAATCGAATGGTTCGGAATTTTGTAATCCGAACAGTTTAGTATCGAATCAAATCGAAACCGAACGGTTTGGCAAAAACCGAACCGAATCGAATGCTATATAATAGTAATAATAATAATAATAGTAATAACAATAATAATAACAATAACAATAACAATAACAATAACAATAACAATAACAACAACAACAACAACAACAATAATGATAATAATAATAATAATAATAATAATAATAATAATAATAATAATAATAATAACCATCATCATCATCATTTTTATAAATTTTATATTTATATTTTAGAGTTAATTGTCAAAATGGTCACTTGACTATAGCAAAATTACCAATTTGGTTCTTAACTATTCTTTTTGACCAATTAAGTCCCTCAACTTTAAAAATTTTAACCAATTTGGTCCTCCATTTGTTTGACCGTTAGTCAACCGTTAACTTGTGACCAAATTGGTAATTTGCTATAGTCAAGGGACCATTTTGGTAATTGACTTTAAGGATGGACAATTCGGTTCAGTTTTCTCGAACCGAACCGTACCAAACTAGTTAGATTCGGTAATATACCAGACAACCGAACGGTAATAGAATCTTGTATATCGAACGGTTCAGTAAAAACTCGAACCGAACTGAATTTGTTCGGTAAAAATCGAACCGAACCGAATACCGTTTGAACTTTGGATTGCTATTTTGTTATATATTAGACTTTGGATATGGACTATGTAAATACCATAACCCATAATATAGAACTTTTGATAACAAAACATAAAGAAATCAAATAAAACATTTACGAGAGATACTCGTGAGAATATGAGTTGAACGGCAGAGCAAGCAGTAAGGGACTTGGATTTACTTTGTATTTATTATTATTATTATTATTATTATTATTATTATTATTATTATTATTATATTTTTTAAAAAAATCAAACAGTATTCGGTTCAGTTTAATTTTTTACCGAACAATTTGAATCGGTTTTCTATCGAACCGTTCGGTATACAAAAATCTAATACGTTCGGTATATTACCGAACCAAATTAGTTCGGTTCGGTTTGGTACGGTTCAGTTCGAGAAAACTAAACCGAATCGCCCACCCCTAAAGTTAATTACCAAAATGGTCCCTTGACTACAGCGAAATTACCAATTTGGTCCCAAGTTAACGGTTGACTAATGGTCAAATAAACAGAGGACCAAATTGGTTAAGATTTTTAAAGTTGAAGGATTTAATTGGTTAAAAAAAATAGTCAATGACCAAATTGGTAATTTTGTTATAGTCAAATGACCATTTCAGTAATTAACTCTATATTTTAGGATATAACTTATATAGTACTTTAATATATAATGTCTATATAATATTACCATTGAAGAAGATAATAAAATGTATGGTGGATGCATGTACATGACAACAATAGTTGGAAAAGAAAACGCAAGTTATAACGGTAGGGGTATTATTTACCAAAATATTGTATAGTACAACTCTTATAGCATAATGTATTTTTTTTAAGGACATAAATGAAGAGTATAACTTTCATTCACACTTATTACTTATTAGTTTTTAGATAATACATGTTCGACCTACTCTACTTAGCACTAGTGAAATACAAATTAAATACAATAGGGCATAATGAGGTCATGAAGCCGACTAGTGGTCCAATCACACAAAGTCGTGACTCGTGAGGCTCCGAATTGCGTGGTACAAGTTGGAAGTAAAAGCCCCCCTCAAATTAGGTATAATGCTATATGTATACTAAGTGGCAATAAGACATAACGATGGTAAATACTAACATAAGTGATGTGACATCCCTTGATTGGACACTCAGATCAGTCATGATAAGTGTAAGTTGTTGAGGTGACGATTGGTGATGTGACATCCAAGTTGGCCTATCTAGCTATGATGGTCAGGAAGTACACTGATATTTAAAGGTCGGTCAATATATTGACGTAGAGGTTAGTATGTCTATTGATAAGGAGGGTCGGCAAGTACACAAACACTTCGGGTCGGGAAATACATTAGGTCATGAAGTGCACTTGTAGACCTTTATGAGGTCAGGAAGTGTATTTGTAACCCCTTTTGAAATCGAAAAGTGCACTTGTAAGCCCTCTAGATGTCGGGAAGTACACTTGTAGACCCTTTTGAGATCGGGAAGTGCACTTGTAAGCTCTCTAAAGGTTGGGGAGTACACTCGTAAGCCATCCAAAGGTGGAAGTACACTTGTAAGCCATCTAGAGGTGAGGAAGTGCACTTGTAAGCCCTCTATATGTCGGGAAGTGCACTTGTAAGTCACGTAGGGCAAGTAGGGTTGCCCTATAACCTTATCAAGAGTCTTACTTAAAACTTGCTCCTAACAGCATGGTTGATGTTAAATCTCAGTCTCATTGTGTACAAAAGTATAAACCTTTGGAGGCGAATTCATGAGATCCAAGATATACTTCAACGAGGTCGAAAAACTTGAAGTCCCATTACAAAGTAACTTTATATAGAGTTAATTCTAGCAATGGTCCTCTGACTATATTGATTTTTCAAAAGAGTTAATTACTGAGTTGGTCCCTCGACTATGAGGATTTCACTAAGTTGGTCCTCGACTTCTAAAATTTCTCAATTTAGTCCCCCGACTATGTTTTTTTTACCCGAAATGGTCCTAACCGTTAGACGTCCGTTAACTCGGGACCAAATTGGTAATTTTGCTATAGTCAATGGACCACTTCAGTAATTAACTTTTGGATAAAATGGCTCACGTGATGACCGAAATGGTCCCTTGAATATAGCAAAATTACCAATTCGGTCCCGAGTTAACGGACATCTAACGGTTAGGACCATTTCGGGTAAAAAAAAAGCATAGTCGGGGACTAAATTGAGGAATTTTAGAAGTCGAGAACCAGATTGGTGAAATCATCATAATCGAGGGATCAAATCGGTAATTAACTCTTTTCCAAAATTAGTCCCCGACTTTTAATTTGGACACTTTACGTCTATTGACTTTCAATTTCTTTCCAATTGAGGTCTTTTCGTTAGATTACGGTAAGATGGACTTTAAATGAAAGGGTAAAGTAGTCATTTCATCTGCCTAATATATAATTTTTCGTATTTCTCCCTTGTATACGTGACTTCGGACATCAGATTCACTTAATTGCTTAATCCCTAAATCCACTTGAAGAACAAATTCCATTTGGGATTAGTTTCTTTTCTAATTTAACCAGGCCTTTGTGATACACTATGCAGACTGCAACTATACCGAAGGGGGTCTGTCAGAAGTTGGAGTCTATTACCAGGCAGTTTATTTGGGGAGGGGATGGGACTTCGCGACGTATTAGTCTCGTAAACTAGGAGACGGTGACAAAGGCAAAAGCCGAGGGAGGGCTTGGCTTGCGAAGTTTGCATGAGGTGAATATGGCCTTCATGGCGAAGCTGTGATGGCGTTTGCGTACGGAAAAAGATAGCCTATGGGCGCAAGTTCTAATGAGCAAATATGGAAACGATGATGGCATGCGGGCTGTAGGCATAACGCGACGCGCCTCGGGCACGTAGAGATGAGTGTGCAGTGCAAACCATCTTCTAGAGAGCGAGCTAACGAGGATTGTTCGAAGTGGAAGGGAGACAAGGTTTTGGATGGATAGTTGGATACAGGGGCGGCGATTGTTTGATTATATGTAGAAACCGATGAGCTTGTTGGAGTTGTATGCAAGTGTGGCGGATTACTAGGAATGAGGGAGAGGATGGAAGTGGGAACGGCTTCAGAATGTGTTGAGTGATTAATGGAGAATCAAACTCCACGTGCATGTGTTGTTAGACGAAGAGGAGGTGGAAGACGAGTGGGGCTGGGGGGATGGAATTAGATGGCAGGATTTCCAAACGATCAGCCTACAATGCTTTACATATGGAGGGTGAAGCGGATGTGGACAAGGACTGGCAAAAATTAAGGAAGCTTAGAGTCCCAAACAAAATAAACCACTTTATGTGGCTGGTGAAGCAAGGGAAGTTAATGTCTAATTGTGAACGTGCCAAGCGGGGATTTACAACAGACTCATGGTGTTTGTCTTGTGCAGGTACGCCAGAGACGTTGGATCATATCTTTTGAGCATGCGGGGAAGTTGCTGGTTTCTGGGAGTTGTTTCTGCCTCGAGGGGTGACGCAAATGCTTCAGGCGCTGGATTGGAACGACTGGTTGTCCGCTAATCTTGTCGTAGATGCCAAACTAGGTTTCGGAGAAGGCTGGCCAGAGAAGTTCGAGGTTGGCCTATGGTGGTGCTGGAGATGGCGGAACATGAAGATATTTGAAGGGAAACGCTTGAACCTTGAGCAGAAGAGGCATGGATCTTGAACCAACACGGCAATATCAAAGAGACTTTCCAGAAGAAGTGGATGCTGAGGGTGGCAGCTAAGGCCGATGTGACACCGACTGCATGGACTAAGCCGCCGCCTAGGTGGTGGAAAGTCATCGTGGATGAATGCTGCAAATGCGTGAACAAAAAGGCGGGATGCGGAGGAGTGTTGCGCGACCACCTGGGGCGATGGCTACATGGCTTCACGCACAATATTGGATTGTGTTCGGCTGAAGATGCGGAGGCTTGGGCGATCCTGTTGGGGTCCGGATGGCTGCTAGACACAGCGCGAGGAACCTCATCGTAGAAAGCAACTCCTTATCCATGGTCAAGTGCATCAACGAGAACCTTAGAGTGGGACGGGGAAGCAACATCGTTCAACTTTGTGTCAAGGAAATTGGCAAGTTTCAGGATGTGGAATTCAGGCATGTCGTTCGAGAGTGTAACAAAGTAGCTGACAACCTTGCGTTGGCTACCTTGGCACACGAGATGGGGACGCGGGTTCTTGAGCGTCAGCCGCCATGCGTTGAGGAGTTACTTTGGAAGATAGGGTCAGGGCCAGAGCTCGACGCGGGGGTGGACATGCTATTATGCTTCTTAGTGTTTCTCACCGGACTTGGTCCCTCTCTTTGTATCCAAAAAAAAATAAAAAATTAAGTCTATAGTTAATAGTCCTGGACTTTCAACTTGACCAAAACACATACCTTAACTTTTATTTTTGACAAAAAATGTTCCTTCCTTTAAAAATTATGTCAAAGGAGCGTTAAAAGCAAGGGTATTTTTGTCAAATCCAAGCATATGATGCCAAAATTGACTCGGAAAAGTCATTTTTTTAGGACTATTGACCCTGTTACATGTACTGAAACCCAACGAGACCAAACGAGTCAATACCATCTTCACGGAAACTCAAATCCATGAGTTCCCACTTGAAAGAGTCACTCCTTGACCACAAGGTCTCTGATGACTCAAAAAAGTCATATATTAACACATTTTCAGCACAATAGCACCAAGAAAGTTCTCAAGGGTAGTTTTATCAAATACAAACATATGCGAACGGATTTGACGAATCCCGGAATCCGTACTCACCCCTAATATATACTCCGTATCTATTAATAAATAATTCATGATTTTCCTCGGATCCGTATCTCTTGTCTATCTCTCTATTCTTATATTCGACTAGAGGACCGTCTTAATTCACCTCCATCAGTTCTCGGTGAACACCGATAGGATAGCGAGAATTGGTCGGGCTGGGGTTTCTGCGACTCCGATCCGGTTCTGGAGCCCGGCGACGAAGTCAGAGTGATGGTGACGTACTGCAAGTCTCAGATCGTCGAAGTCGTCGGCGGCGGCTGTGGCGTTTTCTACATCAAGCAGCGGCGGCCGCTTCAAATCGTGGTTGTGGCGACGGCGGCTTCCTATTCCTCAACGAGCGGCGCTAGCGTTTTCCTCCACGAACGGCGGCAGCGCTCGATCATATCGCCTAGTAACCTAGCCAACGCCCTGCAGCAGTCCGGCTATTTTCTTCTAAACCAATCATCCATCCCGGTGAACGGCAAAGAGATCTGAGGCCTTGAGATCCGAAAACGAATGGTACGGTGGTGGTCGACACCTCCACCGGCCGTGCACGTACAGCATCCCCGTCCACAAATCCAACTAAGAACGGGTCGGGATGTAAGACCCTTAGGGTCGGGATTCAATCTTTTGGGAAGAAAAAAAATGGATCCTCGGATTATTCTCACAAACTTATGGCCGGGTGCCACCAACGAGTGCTGCATTAGTTGATCTATTGGAGTTTGTACACGAATGGGTTTTTCATGCATGGTTAATATTCTAGGTCTTGCTGTTATGAGCTCAATCTTGGATTCTTGGAGAATAACTTATTCACATCCTCATTTACTCCCGACTATATTGAGAGCTAAGTACTTTACTTTTTAAGACATGTTATTTCAATGTCTTGCATGTCATATATACATATGCATAATATTAAATTGTATTTGATATATCTACATATAACGAAGTAATTTAACGTTGTATCTTAGCAGAAATAAGCTACTACAACAGTGATTCGTGAGAAGCGGACTTGTTAATCCTTTAAAGGTAGCAAGAGATCAGACCTAGCTAAAGTACAAGCTTGTATCTTGCAGGATATGCAAACTAGGTATCGCTATACGATATTTTGCGGGCTTAGCTCACTAGTTCAGTAGGTAGTATCTGACAGAAGAAATCAAGGTTCGAATCTCGATAGCGGTTAGTGTGAAATTATGCCCAAAGTGAACACATCTCTTGTACATTGTGTCCAATTTTAAATACAGTTTTGCCTATAAAGTAAATTAAGAGGCACTATTTTCCTTTGTCACCCCATTGACTAACATTGTCTTACTCTAGTAGTACTACCTCATGACAAAATTAAATCATATTAAGTAGTGTGCGAGTCTTATTGTCTTATAGGCTAGTCACCTAGTACACTAGTCGTAGTACTTAGACAAAATTATAGTAATGAGCATTTTGAGTGTCATTGATATTTGGAAGAAATATCAAATTCTATAAGTTCTAAACCTTTCATACTTGATAATGTGCCTGGCCATCATTAGAATATTAGTGTTTCTACATGTTACATGTTTTCCGTTAACAGTGTGCAATCTATATTCCTATATCACCACTATAGCGTACATCTAAGGGTGTCGAGGAAAGCCTACACTTTTTCAGCCACCCTCATCTACTACACCGCTATAAGTGTAGTGGAAACACTTGTACAAGTGTAGCTTATGTGCACCTTTGTACTAGTGTCTCTTTGAAGGAATTTTATGCACCAATTAGCTTATCTTAAAAAATGTCTTAGTGATGTTTTATATGAATAAATATCATTTACTATGGGCACTACTGTAGGACCAGAAGTTCTATAATCATATCAAGTTAAACCTTATATTATATCTCTGATGAACTTGCTAGCAACATTATATTTAGTGTTTATTTTACAATGAAACATTAGAAAAATGTTGAACATATCCTTAGTTATCTTTGAGGTGCAAGAGATTTTAACATTTTTTATGTAAGAAACCATGATATAGTTTTGGTGAGCTACTTGGATACTAGCTAGCTACTTGTCCAATCTCCATTAGACTACGTTCCAAACCGGTTTTGCATGTGATAGATTACCACCATTCTCAATAATGTTTTCCATTCCCAACCTATTTCATAAGCCAGCCTGTTAAATCTTTTACCGTGATATTGTCAATCCAATGATATCTTTAAATTTAATATTAAAAAATATAATAAATATACTTTTTTAAGAAAGTATTTAACTTTAAATTTAAACTTTAGTAATATATGATTTTGTTTATGATACACCCATATTCTAGAATGTTAGCCAGCTAATTTCTTTATACTTTTGAAATTAATAAAATCAAGAACGTTGATACGGCACTAAATGTTAAAATCTATTAAGTGACAATAGAGGTGGTTTTACCATATTGGCATATATTGAATTAGTAAATGCATGGTAACAAAATTATATTATTCTTATAATAAAAGGAATTAAAGATAGATGAAATCTTTCAATAAATACTGCAACCGATTTATGTCATAAGATCGCAAATTAAAATGTACATTCCAAAACACAAAAATAGTCAAATCTGGGGAATCGTATGATATCAAATAAGATTTGGTTTTGCCTTGAATGCATGCTTTTCATTTATCAACCCCGGTGAAACACCAGATTTGACATTAAATTTTTTGGACCCTTTTTACACCTGGATATCTTCATCGTAGATTATATACTAATTTTTACTGGCATTGTTATACACTCTGTGGTCCATTTCTCCAACCTATTTAAACCCCTCGCTGTTTCTTGTTTTAGTCATCAATTCATCAATTCTCTCTCTCTCTTGCACTTCATTTCCTCCTGTTGTCATCAAGTGTGGTACCATTTCTCTCTTTACTCTCTTTTTTCCGATGACGGAAAAAATTTGTAGTCATTATCAGAAAATGTGTATCGGGTAAATCTTACTTTGTGAACCTTAGTCGGCCACAAGGGAATAAAACAACCTAGGTTGTTTGCTGGCTCAAACCAGAAATGTCAATAGACAGTTTTAGTTGTGTTGAAAAAACCCCGCCTTTGACCGTAGCCGGTCACCGGCTCAAACCGCAAAAAGGTTAATGGGATAAATTTCTGTTTGTGACCATAGCCGGTAAATGACACAATGAACCAAACGAGTTTAAGTTGTCTATACCGGTTTAGACCAATAAGACCGCTCCGATTGAGAGTGGAACGTGTAACCTAAAGATTACCAAACTAACCGCCTGACCAATTTGGCGGGTTGCCCCCCTCTTTCCTTATTTGTTATTATTATTGCAGCGTTGCATGCAGGGATTATTGCGCAAGATTGGGGTGTTATTAATGTTTTCTTCTTTTTCTGGAATGAATTTATGTGTTTAGTTTAGGTTGCTGGAAATGGACATGGATTCGAAGAATGTTGGAAAGGGACTGACGGCGCTCGTGGTTGAAGACAGCCCCATTTTGCAGCTGGTCCACAAGACGCTGCTGAAGAAGTACGGAGTGGAAGTTCAGGTGGTCAACAACGGCGAGGAGGCGGTGGTGCTCCACCGCTCCGGCGCCCGCTTCGACCTCCTGCTCATGGACAAGGAAATGCCCATCAAGGATGGCGTCAATGTAAGCCCACTCTTCTTCCCTTTCAATTCCCTCTCACTCGATCTTGTTGAGCATGAGCATATAACTATTAATGTGCAATCCAACTATTAAATATATTATATTTAATATATCTTACAGATCTTATACATCTATTATTCCTAACACTAAAAAGGAAACTATATATGTTTGAATTAGGCAACCAAGGAGCTCCGTGAAATGGGGGTGAAGAGCATGATAGTTGGCGCGACTTCGCACGGGCCAGGTCCGGTGAGGGACGAGTTTCTGGCTGCCGGACTGGATGAGTGTCTGGTGAAGCCGCTGCGTGCAGAAGTGGTTCTGGGCGTCATTAACAAACTTGTTGCCTAAAATGAGTTTGATTTGAAGAGTATTTTCCTATCTTATTATGCCTTAGTGTGCTTAGCTGCAAATTGGGAAAATACTAGTGTGTGTTCAGCTTGATTGGTAGTTTCTGTGTAACTCCAATTATAATAATAAATGACATAGTCATATGTGATTGGTTAAAAAATATATTGTTATCTAATATGATTTGAATTTCTCTAATTCGATCTGTACCTCGATGGAAAACAACAAAGTCGATGTGCACCTCTTTCGCACGCCATCCAAAAAAGGATATATATATATATATATATATATATATATATATATATAATAATAATAATAATAATAATTAATGTATTAATTTGGATTATTAAAAATTCATTAACCTCAAATAAATGGTGATGCATTTGTGTATATGACAATTAATCAACTGACACCCTACATGGTCTGATACAATTTGTTTAAATTGAAATATTAATTTAACAAAATTATTGAATATATAGTTAAACTGCTAAAATCATTTTAAACTTTAATATATACAAAATGATCAAAATTTTCTTCCTAGGGTGGCTGAGTTTAATTCCTCCACAAATTTGGTGTGGTTGGGGTTTTCTTCCATTCTAAGGGGCGGCTGAGTTTAACTCTTCCACAATTCATATATGTTTGGGAGGGTGGTTGGGGGAGGGATTAGCGAACGTTAAAATTAGGGATGGCAATGTGCCCCGTCCTTGTCAGGAACGGGGACGGGAAAAAATTTCGAAAATCGGAGACGGGGACGTCGGTTTCGGAGATTGGAGACGGGGACGGGGATACCCCGTCCCCGATTAATTATAATAATAATAATAATAAATAATAATAATAATAATAATAATAATAATAAATAAACACACACACACACACACACACACACACACACACACACACACACACACACACACACACACATATATATATATATATATATATATATATATATATATATATATATATATATATATATATATATATATATATATATATATGTTAATTTTTTAAAATTAAAAGTTTAGTTTTTAAAATTAAAATTTACAATAAATTAAAATTTTGACTAAGAGTTGATCGGGGACGGAGAATCCCCACCCCCGCTTAATTCCCCGCGGGGCAGAGATATGGACAATTTTCAATTTTCCGTACGTCGAGGATGGGAACGGGGTCAGGGGTTTGGGGACGGGGACGGGGAGTGCTATCCCTAGCTAATTAAATGGAGTAAACACAATTATCAAATTGCCTACTGAATTAAAATGGCGTGCATGATATTTTTAACATGCATTAATTACATACAAAATTGTACTTAGGGCGGTTAGCGAGCTAAAAAATGGGGTAAACACAATTATCAATTGATGTATGACCGTTTCATGGATCCTTATTCATGAGATGTGTCGGATCGGGTCGGGTTGGTTTAATATATAAATGTAATACTAAATTATGAATAAAATGCATGTTTATTACTTATAAGGGAAAACATAATACGACAAATGTAATACTTTTATATTTTGAAGTAAAAATATTACTTTTTTTTTTATTATCAAAAGTATGACTGAATTGTAGACACATCTTTTGAGGGGGACAACTGACCTGGAGATTTAAGGCTTCTCCATACCCAAAGTCAAAGATCAAACCCTTAACCTTTGGTTAAGACTAAATAAGTCCTTTTTACTTAACCACACCCCCAAGTTATAACTATAGATTCTTGTAGATCGTGGACACGTATTTTAATTTGTTTTGGTTAGATTTTACTGTAAATGAAGCTGATAATTTTTTTCAAGACTTTAAGTATGTTCTTTTAATGTATTTGTATTCTTCAAAGTTAAAGACATATTTTCACTTTCATCTATTAATCAAGACTTGGTAATTAGTTTATCACAATTTGGACTCACGAAATTACGAGTGAGTTAATTTTGCTGAATAAATTGATAAATGTTTTACTGACGAAATATTAGAGTAAAGAAATACTAAAGTTTATATTTTTTGGTTTAAAAATAATGTATATATATAAACATATGTACGTACATGTGATTAGTCTTTGATTAATCAAATATTTAATTAATCCGTGATTAGTCTAATTTGGACATAAAATTAGACATTAAGGTGTATTTGGTTCATGGCTGGGTCACACAAGAAATGATAATGAAAGTCATAAATATTGTTTAGTGGACAATTTTTTTAAAACACATGGATAAGATTTGATTACCTCTATAATTAAAATAAAAAAGGGAAAATGACACTTTTTCCCCCTGAGTTATATACTTATAGCACTTTTTCCCCCTGAATTATTTAAGTGGCTCTTTTTCCCCCTGAAATGTTAAATGGACATATTTACCCTTAAAAAATATTTAAAAAAAAAATATTTCATTTATTTTTCTTCTCCAACAAATTATTACTATATTTTGGTTCAAACCAAACAGATACTATATCAACCAAACCAAAATATCCCAATTACAATTTATAATCAAAACGCGATATTTAGAGTTTATTAAAATAGTGAACCAGAATTGTCGGTTCATGTTCCGAACTGAAAAATAAAATACATTTATTGTTGAATTTAGACTATTTTAAAATAAAAAATAAAATTTTAAAATAAAAACGGTTCAAAATCGTGAACTGGATCCGGAACCGCCGGTTCACGGTTCATGATCAAGTTTTTTTATTCTTAAATTTAATAAATTGAAATCCAAATATTGGGTTCTAAATCCGAATCATAACCGAAAATTTTTAATTCGATTGCTATATTGTCTGGTTCAGTTCGTACCGAACCGTGGTAATCGCTACATATACGCAATAATTTGTTGGAGAAGTAAAATAAATAAAATGTTTACTTTAAGGGTAGAAATGTCAATTTAATATATTATGGGGAAAAACCACCACTTTTAAAATAATTGAGGGGGTTAATGTGTTTACATAAATAATTGAAGGGGAAAAAGTGCTATAAATATATAACTTAGGGGGAAAAAGTGCCATTTTCCCAATAAAAAATAAAAAGCAAAATTCATTACCTAATTTAAATAAGGTATCATTTCTTTGATTGAGCCTTTATCTCTACTCATTTCATCGCTTCCTCATTTCGTCGCCTCCCCACTGGCCACTACACATGATTAGTGGTTTTAGATTTTTGTTTTGATTTTTTTTTTTCATATTGGTGCTTTGGATGTTATTATAGTAGGATCAATTGTATTGATTTTTTGTTTTGTTTTTGTTTTTTGTTTTTTGTTTTTTTTTTTTTTTGTTTTTTGTTTTGTTTTGTTTTGTTTTTTTTTTTGGTTTTTTTTTAACATTTATTTCAATTATAGGGCCATACATAACTAAACAATCATTGGTAATCATCCCAATTCCACTCTACTACTAAACATGTAAAATATTTTCACCAAAACCTATTTCAATTACCAAATATTTAATTACAAACACGCTCTAAATCTGTCCAGAATTAGACATTCTAAGCAAATAATTTCTCCAAATTTGACAACTTGTAGTATGTACAATTTCACAGATTTTGGACAAATGGATAACTCCATGTCGATTGAACATTAAGGGTAAAACTTATCCTTAATTAAAATTCAAATTCGAATTTGTAACTTATCCATGTTGGTTGACATCTTAACTAACACTTTAGATTCCCTAAAAAAAAAAAGTAATAAAATAAAAAACTTTAGACACCTATTTGGCACTTTTTCCCCCTATGTTATATACTTATAGCACTTTTCCCCCCTTAATTATTTAAGTGGCTCTTTTTCCCCCTGAAATGTTAAATGGACATATTTACCCTTAAAATAAATATTTCATTTATTTTTATTCTCCAATAAATTATTACTATAATTTAGTTCAAACCAGATACTATAGTAACCAAACCAAAATATTTCAATTACAATTTATAATCAAAATGCGATATTTAGAGTTTATTAAAATCGCGAACTGGAATGGCCGGTTCATGTTCCGAACTGAAAAAATAAAATACATTTATTGTTGAATTTAAACTATTTTAAAATAAAAAATAAAATTTTAAAATAAAGACGGTTCAAAATCGCGAACGGGATCCGGAACCGCCGGTTCATGATCCAATTTTTTTTTATTCTTAAATTTAATAAATTGAAATCCAAATATTGGGTTCTAGATCTGAATCATAACTGAAAACTTTTAATTCGATTGCTATAGTGTCTGGTTCAGTTTGAACCGAACCGTGGTAATCGCTACATATACGCAATAATTTGTTGGAGAAGTAAAATAAATAAAATGTTTACTTTAAGGGTAGAAATGTCAATTTAATATATTAGGGGGGAAAACTACCACTTTTAAAATAATTGAGGGGCTAATGTGCTTACATAAATAATTGAGGGGGAAAAAGTGCTATAAGTATATAACATAGGGGGAAAAAGTGCTATTTTCCCTTCCCTAAAAAAAAAAAAAGTAATAAAATAAAAAACTTTAGACACCTATTTGGCAATATGCCTTAAAGAGGAAATGATCCTTCTATAGTTGCTCATCTTCACACATGCAACTTGTTCATCTTGTTGTTTATGGAATGGGATGCTGAGTTTAACTCTTCCACAATCTATGTATGTCCCGAATGCACTACTACAAAAGTAATTTAAGTAACATATAATGTTAAACTTATCTCGTCAATTTTAATAAAATCGTCATTAAAACATTAAATAAAATTATAATTAAAAAATGTTTTAACGTCGATTTATTAAAAAAAAATCGACATCGTTAATAATTACAAAACTTTTTTGTTTAAAATTTAAAAAAGATACAGCGTCCGTTAAACAACTACTTAGTGTAGTGGGAATGGGTGGTTGGGGGAGGGGTTAGCGAACTCTAAAATGGGGTAAACACAATTAACAATTTGCTTATTGAATTAAATGGCGTGCATGATATTTTTAACATGCATTACAAAATTGTACTTGGGGCGGTTAGCCAACTTTAGAATGGGGTACGTAAACACAATTAACAATTTGCTTACTGAATTAAAATGGCATGCATGATATTTTTAGCATGCATTACAGATTTGTACATTTTTTGGGGGGTAGGGTGGTGGGGAGTCGGTGGTTGGGGCCAGTTAGCGAACTCTATTATGGGGTAAACACAATTATCAATTTTCTTACTGAATTAAAATAATGACGTGCATGCTATTTTTAACATGCATTACAGAATTGTACATTTGTTAGGTTGTAATTTATGTCTAAAGTATAATTTTTTTAAGAGCATTTTTAAAAGAGATTTAAAAAAAAAAATTGAGAGGAGAAAAGATTTAGAGAGAATAAAATGAATTTGTAAGTAAATATATTTTGAGTAATAATAATAATAATAATAATAATAATAATAATAATAATAATAATAATAATAATAATAATAATAATATTATGCAATTTTATAATTTTTGAAATTTACTTTTAAATTACATTTATAAATATCGTAGTTTATTATTTGTATGATGCACTTTGAAGTATTAAAAAATACACTTTATAACTCCACGTAATGCACTTTATAATGCTGCCGTGCTGCACATTATCTTACCCATATATACCACCCATGTCACATAGGGATGACAATTCTACTCGCACCCAATAAATTTTCCGGACATCTCCACTTCTACGGGTTTTAAAATGCCCGCATAATTTGAGTAATGAGTGCAGATATGGGGAAAATTTTGTATACCCGCGCGGTGCGGGGGAGGTATCCCCGCCTCACACCCGCACTTTTTTTTTTTTTTTTTGGAAAGGAAAAACGAAGATATATTAATTAGCAAAAGCTAAATGTTGAATACAAGTAGGATAGAGTGAAAACCAACTACGAGGACCAGACTGGGAAGAAGCCTCCCTTGCCAATGCATGAGCAAACTTATTCGCGGATCTACGAACAAACCGAAACGACACATAATCAAATTGTCGTTTAAAATTGAGACAATCCTTGAGCACACAACCTGCATAAGAGTTATCCGGAGCAGAAGATATTAAGGATGCGCACATTAATTGACAATCCGAGAGAATCACTAGCTCTCTCCAACCACATTCCATTGCCCACGATAGAGCCTCCTTTATAGCCATAGCTTCAGCAAGATGCCACACCCGCACTTATATATATTGTTATTTGTATTTATTTATTATATAAGTTTATGTATATTTTATTTATAATTAAAAATGCATATTGCATTAAACTCTTAGTTTTTTTATTTATGAAAATTGAATAAGAACAACACAAATAACATAATGAGTAAACACTTAATACAATTTATACTATCAACACAATTTTAGTTCCAATTAAGGACTAACTTCATTAGCTCTTATTAAATTTTAGAGTTATGTTCAAACTTATAAAAAAATTCATGTGACAATTAAAATTGTAGTATAAAATTTTTATTAGATTTAAGTGAAATATTAATAATTATAGTTGCGGGTGGGGTATTACCTGCACCCACAAAATCTCTGCGGAAACAAATATGGGGCAAAAATCTCATTACCCGTGCGAGTGTGGGGAGTGAGTTGGGAATGCGGGGATATATACCCCGCACCATTGCCTGTCACATTAAATGTGTGTACACATACTCAATGTGACAAAATGAACATACAACTTTTGTCTTTTTTTTTTTTTTTTTTTTTTTTTGTTTTGTTTTTTTGGTAAGGACTAACCATTTGATCCAATGTTAGGAAAATCTTGTAGTTGAACTTTACTAATTCGATAAAACCTTCATTGGTTACCTACTCATTCCATCATACACTACTTCAAACTACAAGGAAAAAGGGGAATGAAAGGAATGAGACTAGTGTATGCTTAGTTTCTCATAGAAATGTATATACTAGTGGCTCCCCAATTCCAGTTTAAAAAAGGATGAAAGTTCCTCCATTCTCCTATCATCTTTCAATCTACACTATTGTTCCCAAACTTCACCCATGTGACCAATTGAGCTGCCCCTGCAGACTTCAGTCTACAAACATGACCACACTAAAGGAACACTATATTGAGCCAGCAGTTCCAAACCTTCACTAAAACCACAGCACCTATCAGAAATCAGTAGAATCACATGAAAAATAAAGATAAAAAGATACTCCCTCAAAATGTAAAGCATCACTTCCAGAGAACACTCTGCAGCATTTTGACCAAACTACCAATCTTCCAAGTGTCCCTCCTAAGCCTATTTCTGATTTTTTACATCTTGGGCTAAAGTAAAAGAGTGTGCCTCATCTCTAGCATGCTGAAAGAAGAGTAGGAGTTTGAGTGTTTAAAGTGAACAGTGCTATTTTCGATTCTTCACTATTATGGGATGCTTCCAGTGTTGCACTTTGGGTAGGATCAGGATGCAAATTCTGAGCCGTTATCACTACTTTCAGAATTCAGGTTGACATTGGGTGGTGATTTATGGCCCGATCCCTCCTGTTTCTGCTGCTTCTCGTTTTTCTTTGAAGTAAATCGACCACCACATCCTCTAGCTCTCCTTAGTGCATGCAAATGTCGCGATTCATGCAAGTAGGGCTGCAAATGAAAATATCAGTGAGGTGGTGGCCGTATAATTGATGTAGGTAATTAAAACACCCAAAAAACGTGTAGATAAGATTACCTTCCTAGCCTTGAGAAGTTTATTTTCCGACTCGGCTTTTGCACGAGATTGTCGGCGCCTCAAGATGCCATGATATTGTTTTGCATTAACAAAGACAGGTTCTTCAACTGCATCTGATGGCAAAGGAACGCCAGCTTGTTGAGTTCCCATCAATTGAAGATGGACCTGAGAATTCACTGTATAATTACAACTTCCGTAACTATGCAAAACAATTGCCCCACCTACCAAATCAACAATGTTATTAACAAGAAAATTTGTACCATTGGTTGAGATGGATAAGGCTGTGCAGCATAAGGCTGTGCATCATAAGGGGCAAAGATGCTTCTGTAATAAGGATCTGGATAAGGATACACAGTATGTGCCTGCAATGTATGACAAAAGAATCCCCACATACTCGTCATTAGTTCTGCCTGTAGTTAAATGCAAATAATATAGTAATCACCAAGAACTATAGGTCACATCTTCTAAAATGAAAAACGGATTCAAATAACATTATACCTTATGATGTCAGTGCCATTCATGTTCTTAGCTTACTGTGTATTTTTTTAGAAAGGAGACAAAACTATATATATAGGTCATGGTCATTAGTATGCAAAAAGTGGAGAGAACACAATCTGGACTCCAGTATGCAAAATTATCAAATTCAGAGTTCAGACAGCATTAGATATCAGAAGAAAAGGTAATGGTCCTTTCAGACCTTGGCGCTGGAAAATGTTGAAAACGTCAATTCTTTAATTAATATTTCAGCATAAATATGAAAAGGTTCTCTTGGCACAAAATAGTGTCTACCCACAGTCAGACAGTCTACAATGCAATAACAAAGTTGCTTAGCATCATACTCTTCTCAATATGATTTTGACGTTGATAGCTTTTTCATTGCATCTATTACCAGGAAGGGAACATTCTAGAGAGGATGAATGACTTCTTTTGCTGGAACTTAGCAATAGCTAATCTGAGTTTCTATGTAACATGTCAGGTTGGTCCTTCAAATGGAATCTGGAAACAATATGATGCCTTGGGAATCTTGAGAAGCTCTATTTTAATCAAATGTTGGCATAAGTTTGAAAAGAAAGGGGTAAAAAGAGATTATAGTTAATTTGTATGCCTGAATCAGACTCCTTTGGTTATGGAAATTACCAATTAAACAGCAATCAAGTGTGCAAGCATCTCTTCGTTTGATAATTTAGAAGTTATCTGAAAGTGAAAAAAAAATAAAAAATAATAAAAAATAAAAAATTCATGTGTCACAAACATTTTATGTACAAGTAGTTTTTATGTTTTACACAGCATTTATTTATATTTTTTAGCATTATTCTGCCATAGATTGATCTATAAATCAACATAACCAATTTTAATATCAATTCACAAAAATACTAACAAAGCATGCCCAAAAGTTCTTAAATCATTACAAATAAAAATTTATTCTAAAGGGGGAGCAGAAGATTGTGTTCCACGCTTCCACCAAAATTTTCCTATATTTGCAAATTAATAAGGTTAGCTACTAGGAACAACATCTGGCAATTTAATAGGATGGCCATCAGCAAGCATCATAGATTTGCTTGCACCCAGCACCACTACTACAGTAAAGCAAGAGCAGAACCATACTAGTAAAACTGAATATACCAAATAAGGATAGGGTAGTGTAAAGCTTAAAACAATGTTGTATCAGGGATATATTAAAAACATTGTGTTACTAGATTCTTATAATACCATAGCATTTCCATTTCCGTTTTGTGGAGGTATTCCATAATGCATAGCTGGTGCGATAGTCGCAGAATGAGGCATCAAATTTGACGGTGATGAAGACTGAATTTCATGCTCTGAGTGCTTTTGTTGCTGTTCAGTCTCACTATTATCTAAAATTCCACCAAATTAACAATAGTTAGAAACATGTCATAAATTGCACCTGAAAAAAGAAAGTAAGATAGGAACAACAGTATAACTTAACAGTCTAATTCACATTAAGAAGATCAACCCCAATATTTTTTACAAATGTCAAAATACCTCAACCCAACAAAACCAGAGTAATGGCAGCATAGTTGCCTGAATGGTTTCTTGTTTGTAGAATCTTAGTCAATGTTAAGGATCTTAGCAGAGAACATAGATTGATTGAAATTTTTAAAAGGTTAAATATTTAAGTTAAATAAGAATAAGGGATAATTGCACTGGATATGTGCTAGCATAATGAATTGTGGATAATAAGTCACACAAAGGTGACTTTTTCTTATTGATACACCTTGGGTAGAAAAGGCAACTATAACTTTAGAACACAGTGTTTCAATATTCAATAGCATACTTTCTGCATTTCTATTTGTTTCATAGATCACAGTAAGGGATATGGGAAAAACCTGAAAGCTCATGAACTGAAGAGGAAGTCATAATGCTGCTTGTCTCGAGACCCTTGAATTGATAACAGACCTAGGAACACACAGTTAAACGTGGGGCAACAATACATCTAAACAATATATATCACCCACCATAAATTATTATATGCCTGCAACCATTTATAGACACAGAATTATCACACTGCTAAACATATATAGCTTTTTATAGATATTTGGCAGCAGAGCACATCATTACCAAAAAAAAAAAAACTAACTGAATTTAGGCATTAGCAAATCACTTACAGAATTATGTTAAAACCAAATAACATTGATATACCATACCAACAGAGCAATGATAAGCTAAACAGACTCACTCAGCTTTTAACATAATCAGCTAAAATAAAGTTAAAAAAAAAAAACCCAATCAATCAGAAACTAAACTGTTACTCTGCATGTGGTGGAACAGCTGAAGTTCAGTAAAGAAATTGTGTCCGGAATTGCCAGAGAGAACAGAAACCTGAGTTATACTGAATTTTCACTCATTTTTCATTTTGAAATTCAATCTTGTTCAACGACACAAATGACCAAAAAAAAAAACAGCAAAGCATTGAAATTAGGGTTTCGGATATTCAAAAAAAAAAAAAAAAAACTACCTTTTTGAAAGAATTTTCTTGCCGTTTTGCACTGGAATCAGCTAGCACCTACCATTCCAATTCTCATCGCATCTGAATAATGTGAATATAATAGAATGAGAAAAACAAAAGGAATTAGGGATTTAGGATTGGATTGGGAAATTGAACAATTGTGTGGGGAATCAAAATTCTATCCCTACTGGATTGCTTACTGGAAACTTCTTATAACCCTCCAGAGAATCATGAATAGAGGGCACAATTTAAAATCAATAACAACAAAAAAAAAAAAAAAAAAAAAAAAAAAAAATAAAAGTCTGTGGATTGGAGTTGAAGAGGGCAAAGTGGTCCATAGCTTTGGACAGATAGTCTCAATCTGAGCCAGAAGTTTTTATGTTGGGCCCCTTTTGTCAGTGAAAATTGTTCTTTATTTAATGGTTTCAAATGTTTCACTAAAGCATTCATCATTGTGGCCCGTGGGTTCTATTTGGGCCACGTGACGTTTAGCGAAGCCCGCCAGTAAATTAATAAAAAATTATCTCAACTTTTTTGAAGAAAAGTTATCTTAACTAAAAATAGTGATTGACTGAGTAGTTGAAAATTGAAATAGAACGAGTGCGATTTACCTAGATTTAATTCAATGGTTTAGTAAATAATTAATGTTTGAATCTTAGCTGCGTAATGTGGGATTATGTTTATAATAGATAAATCTCTTGTGCGCATCGATATTTACAGGGCGTTTGGTTGGAGGGGGAATTATATGGGAAAAGAATTGTAATTCCATGGGAGTTGAATTACTATAAATAAAGTGAGAATTTAAATTCCAGTGTTTGATTGACAGGAATAGAATTACTGGAAATTTCAATTCCAATGTTTGGTATACATGGGAATTGAAAGGGAATAAGTAGTATAAAGTCAAAAATGTCTATTATTGTTGTTAGACATTAATTTTAGGTTAAAATAGGAATGGGTAATTTTAACTCATCACTATCTTTTTTTCCCAGGAATTAAAATCCCAGGGGGGACATGGGATTTTAATTCCATGAAAATGAGGGAATTGCAATTCCCTCCAACCAAACTACGGAATTTAATGGCCTTTGGAATTATGTGGGAATTAAGTGGGAAGGGAATTTAAAATCCCTCCAACCAAACGTCCTGTTAGGGTGTGTTTGGTTCGCACATGGGAATCAGAATCGGAATCGGAATCGGTATCAAATACTTAGTAATGGTAATGAGTTTTGGTGAAAGTATTTAACATGTTTGGTAGTAAGGTGGAATGAGAATGGTTACTAATAGTAGTGTTTGAGAATGAATAAGGGAATGAAACCCTTATTTTATTTGGGTATGGATTTTTCAATTGATGGGGTATTCGAAACCCATAGTAGTGTTCTAAAAACCTATCAACCAAACAACAACAATCACTTTCATACTCATTCCTATGTGCAAAACCCACCAACCAAACACACCCTTAGCCATGTCTGTTGTTTTTAATATGATTTTTTTTTTTTTTGGTGAGGAAAATTTAATACTCCGTATGATTTATTAATTATTGCATATAAATTAGAAAAGAAAACATTAGATTTCTGTTTATTAACTTTCTGACCAGAGGCCCTGCAGAACATGTCAAGACAATTCATGATAGTTCGCATTTGGTCCTCATTAGCTTCGGCAAACAGGACCATGTCATCCGCAAAAAATAGATGCGATATAGTAGGGCCTTCTTTGTTCACTTCTATTCCTTTCCAAAGGCCTTGGACCACCGCATCATTTATGATATGGCCCAATTTTTCAATACACAAAACAAAAAGATAAGGGGAAATAGGGTCTCCCTGTCTTATTCCTCTTTGGGGTTTAAAAACCTCAAGATTTTCTCCCTCCCAAAGAGCAGACATTGTAGGTGATTCCACACACTTCATTATGTTGCGGACCCAATCATTGTTCAAACCAATATCGCTGGAATCCCGATAACTGATGATCTCGGGAGATATCTTGGAGTTCCATCTCTTCATGGACGAATTACAACAGATCATTGCAAAGGCATCCTGGAAAGAGTTCGAGGACGGTTGGAGGGCTGGATGTCGAGACATCTAACCCTTGCAGGTAGACAAGTTCTTATTCAATCGGTTATTAACGCTATCCCTTCATATGCCATGCAGACGATGTACATCCCGAAGGGAGTCTGTGATGCAATTGACAAACAAACTTGCAGCTTCCTTTGGGGTGGGGATGGTCAAACAAGGAAAACAAGCCTCGTGAACTGGGAGATTGTGACACAACCAAAAGAGGAGGGCGGTCTAGGAATAAAATCCATGCGCCATATGAATGAGGCTCTTCTGGCAAAGATGGGTTGGAGAATATTAAAGGAGCAAGAGACGACGTGGGCTAAGGTGCTTACTAAGAAATACATGAAGGAAGGAGCTTGCATTGCAACAATGAAAAGGAGGAGAAATGACTCAAAATCTTTGGAAAGGAATTTGTGCTTCGGCCAAAATTCTTAAAGAGGGGTCGAAAAAGATTGTTATAAATGGAAAAGATACCCTATTCTGGACTGACTGTTGGTTAGGAGATTCGAATCTCCGATGCTGGGCAATTGGCCCTTTAAACAAGGATGAGGAAAGCTTGAAAGTGGCGGATCTTTGGGAAGAAAATGGAACGTGGAATTGGAACCGTGTAGGAAATGTTCTTCACCATGATAAAAGGAATCAACTAGCAGCCTATGTGTTACCGCAAGACAACGTGAAAAGGGATATGTTGGGCTGGAAACAAAGTGAAACAAATATGTTTACTACTAATTCTGCCTACAAAATGGCGAACCGAAAGAGAAACACGGAAGAAAGAATTGGCTGGGAAAAGGTTTGGAGTTTAAAGGTGCCAAGTAAGTTTCGAACTTTCATTTGGCTGGTAAAACATGGCAGAATAATGTGTAATGCGGAGAGGAAAAAACGTGGTTTCACGAATGATGAACACTGCAGTTTTTGCGGAGAAGAGAAGGAAGATGTGGAACATGTTATTAGAAGCTGCCCAGCTGCTAAAGAAGTCTGGAAGAACATTAACATTAACGACACACGAGGTAATTTCTTTTCCCTTGTTTTTAATGAATGGTTAGACACTAATTTGACAGGGGACAAGAGGGGAAGCTTGAGGAAGAATCAGAACGCAAGGTTTGCGACGACCGCCTGGTGGATATGGAGATGGAAGAACGCCCGAGTTTTCAACGGTGAGGAGATACATCTGCAAGATAAGATTGCCTGGCTAAAGACGCAATTCAGGGACATTGAGAAAGCCTTTGAGATGAGTTCGAATCCAGGAGTTTCGAATGAGGTAGAAGCAAGGAGATGCAACCCATGGTCTGTGCCACCTAGAGGGTGGATGAAGGTCAACACTGATGGGGGCAGTAGCAAGAGAAGTAGAACAGCTACATGCGGAGGAGTCATCAGGAATGACAAAGCTGAGTTCATGGTGGCTTTCTCAAAGAAGCTTGGAGCGTGTGACCCTCTAGAAGCGGAGCTATGGGGCGTTTATCTCGGCATCAACCAAGCATGGAGATTGGGATTCAGGTGTGTCATCCTTGAGACAGATAATGCCAAAGCAATCGAGCTGATAAATAAAGATGAAGACTATGTTGGTGCAGGAAGGAATCTGGTCGATCTCTGCAAAGCAGCCAAATCCTGGCACTGGGAAGTTATATTCAGGCATATTCCGAGGGAACAAAATAGAGTAGCCGATCTTATTGCCAGTCTGGCTTTCGACGATGCAAGAGATGAATGCTTTTATGATCATGCTACGGAAAACATGCAAAGATACCTCCGTCAAGATGAACTTGGTATTCTGGGTAGTAATAATACTGTAAGGGTCAGATATTGACCTGGGTTTCAACCCTCCTTTTCTTTCAAAAAAAAATTAGTGCATATAAATACTATTTACTGAATGTAAAACTTTTGATAATGATTGTAAATTTTTTTTCGTTTCAAAAAATAATAATAATAAAATAAAATTATACGGAAATTTAAATTCATATAAATGTTTGTTAACTCAATAAAATTGTACAAAATTTTAAAATTTAATATTCCATGTTTTTTTTTTTTTTTTTTTTAGTACCATTGACTCTATTACAAGTAGTATAGAATCATGTGACCTCCTTCAAGGAGAGTCACAGAGGTGTCATCTTAGTCTTTTAGATAGGGCGTACATTATTGAATTCGATTTTTTTTTTTTGAAAACTATAATTTTTTATTTTTAGTGGGTCATGAGTTATTGTATGTGAAATGTTTTGGTTGTTTTAATTCTTGATAAATTTCTACTTTTTAGATTATAAAAATTACAATTATCACACAAATGTACGAGTATATTAAATCTTAAATTAAAATTATAATATAATTAACTACATAAAGTTTTTTGACACTTAGTAATAACCCACTAAAGCTCAGTTTAAAAGTAGGAATAATCACGGTTCAGTTTTAACCAAATCGGATATTATAGAAATCAAACTGAAATTCAAAAAATTTCGATTTGTTTTATTTATTTTATTAATATAAGCATCAAAGCAAACGCATGCAAAAACACCAGAAAGTGTGTGTCAATTGTCAAAATGCCTCCATTGCAATACATTGTAGATGATTAATAAAGAAACTCCAAATTCCCTTGAAGCTACATTTCAATGCTCTTCATACTCAATGGATGACAATGGGTCGGGGAGAGCTACATCCATCACCCGAACCACCTTATATTTTCTCCACCCACCTCCATCCTCAACTCGCATTGAGTAGACTTTTTCAAAACACAATCCATTCTCACCGGGTGTGGATGCCCACTACGGGTACCCACCACTTATCATCTTATTATTATTTTTTAAAAAATATAATATTTAAATTACTTATACATAATAAAATAATAAAATTCATTAGTTATACTAAAACATAAAATAATAGAAATATTTAAATATAATAACTAAAATTTTAATTTTTAAAAGTAAACTTAGTTGTTTATTTAGATATAAAATAGTAGAAAGTTACATGAAGTTATAGAAACTTTTATAAATAACTAGGTACTAGTACTTATTTTAAAATTATTTATATATATACACACACATGGTGAGTCGGGTGGGGTTTTAAACGAGTTTTGTACATAGAATCCGAATATAACTCGACCCCACCGCGGGATTATTTTTTTAAGACCCACCACCCACTACCACCCAAAAAAAAACTGATCCATGCGAGGATGTATTCACGTGGATATCCGCAGGGCGGATTAAAATTGACACCCCTAATAGTCATGCATGCATTTAGATATAAAAATAATGAGTTAATACCCAAAATCATCCTCGACTATAGTGGTTTTTCTCAATTTCATCCTAAACGACTTTGGTGACCTAATATCGTCCCAGACTTTTGTGTGTTCGCTCAATTTAGTCCTCTATTTGTTATTCCGTCAAATTGGTGTTAAATTTAGGGACAATTCAATAATGTCAATATTGATCTCTCTTTACTTTCAACTTGTGAAGTGGGAAATTCCTCTTTCTTGTACGAATTACACCCAGAATTACTCCCGGACCTGCAAATCAAATTTTATATTCGCAGTTTTAGGAGTAATTCTGGGACTAATTTGTAAAAAAAAAAAATGGATTTCGCAGTTCACATGTTTATGAGTAAAGAGATGCCAATATTAAAATTACTTAATTGTCTATTCATTTAACACCAAATGGATAGAATAACAAATGAGGGACTAAATTGAGCAAAAACACAAAAGTATGGGACGAAATTGAGCGAAACATAAAAGTCTGGGACGATATTAGGTCACCAAAGTCGTTTAGGACAAAATTGAGAAAAACCACTATAGTCGAGGACGATTTTGGGTATTAACTCTAAAAATAATGGTGTCATTTGACATCCTGGATAAAGAGATGATAAAACTCATATTTGAAGATGTTAAATAGAGAACTCTATATGTTTTTCATATATTTCAGACTCAAGAATACACATATTTATATAATAAGATATATACTAAGGTAAGGATCAGAATTCAATCCCTAAGAATATGCACATTAGTCCCTAATATCATGCTAAATATAATCCTCAAGTGTCTCAGCAGGCCTTGTTAGTGAGGTAAGGGTAAGTTTGTAGCAATAGGCTCTTAAATTATTCAAATATGTCGGTGAACTTTAGGACCCCTCCCATTTGTCTAAAAAAGGTGAAATCCTCCATCACAAAAACCCCCCCATCCCCTCCAAATCCCCTACAAACTACCTCAGCAAATGCAACCCATTGAAATGTCCTTCCCAGGCCATTCAAATAACCATCCATCCATAACCCTACTTTTCCAGTAAGATTAACATAAAGCACATCTAAAATTTCATTTATAGGAATATGAGACATGAGGAAAAACCTTTAATACCTATTAATCCATAACCTAGGTTGTTCATAGTCAAATGGAAGAACTCAGCTTCGTACTTCATAAAGTGGTGATATGCAACTAACCTAGGTTGATGATCCTGAAATTGGCCCCTCCTTGGTGCCCAATCCCTGTTAGCTCCCCTAGGATCGGAACCACTCCCCTGCGGATTCATAAGCAGAGTTATCTTCCTCCAGATCAACCATGACACATGTACGATATGATCTTTGCCATTCCTCCTTCCTGGATGGACTTGATCCTGATGAGAACTAGTTGGGGAAACTTGGCCCCTATCATTGACTTAGGAACCATCTGGAGCTGAATCACAAGAGGTGGAGGTCTGTTGAGCCAAATAGTCTCAATCATTTCATTCTTCCAGCTAGTCACCCTGTTTTTCAATCTGAGCCACTAGTTTCTCCATAATTTCTTGTGTTACTTGCGACCTCACCTCTATTTGATTTCCTAGGTCGGCCACCATAGTCTCCAACTTGCTTACCCGTGCCTTCATAGATGGGGCTCTGATACCATATGGTATAAGAGCTTTACTCCATGGATGCGCGTATAGGTGTAAATGAGCCGAGCCGCTCGAGCGACTCATTTAATAATCGAGTTCGAGCCGAGCCTAAATATTTTAGGCTCGTGGCTCGTCAAGCCGCTCGCGAGTCGTGTAATATATATATATATATATATATATATATATAATGATTAGAAATTAAAATTTTGAATAGTCAAAATCCATAAAAAAATTAAGGGGTCGTTTACTTCATTTCTCTGTTTTTCCATTTCCAGTTTTCCATTTCTCCATTTCTCCAATTTTCCTTCTCCATTTCTCCAGTTTTCCATTTCTCCAATTTTCTAATTTTCATTCCCCATTCCTCTAGTTCTTCATTTCTCTAACTTTTTGTTTTTATTAAATACAATCATCTCATATATCATTTTTACATTTCTACAATAAAATAATAATAATAATAATAATAATAGTAATAATAATAATAATAATAATCTTCTGAAGAAGGGGGAAACCTGAAGCAATAATAATAATAATAATAATAATAATAATAATAATAATAATCTGAAAAAGAGGGGAAAAACTGAAGCATTAATAATATTATTATGAACTGGGAAGAAAGTCAAGAAACTGAAGGTGAAGAGGCGGAAAGCTAAAGGAGAAAAATTCAAAACAAAGAGCAAGGCAGGGTTCGAACTAGCGACATATTGGCCAAAGTTACTGTTCACCCGTTTTTTTTTCCATTCTTCCATTTGGAGATATCCAAATTTGCTTTCTCCAAAAATGTACATGAAGTGGAAAAATAGAGAAGAGTTAGGCAATTAGAGAATAGATTTTAGTAAACAAGTTTTCCATTTTCCATTTTTCCACTTCTCCAATTTTCTGTTTTTCTAGAAAATTTTCCATTTTTCCAGTTTGGTAAACGACTCCTAATCTTCCAAACCGTCGCGACTCAAACTTCAGACTTCAAAGACTTCGCCGACTGCAGAGAGTCATCGCCGCTATCGCGAGTCCAGACCGCCGTTAGTAATTGCTTCAAGCCACCATTGCGAGTTTAGAGTTTAGAGTCCGCGGTTGCTCCAAGCTGTCGTCGCTAGTCCAAACCTTCATATCGTCGTCGCGGTAATGACTTCTTCTTCATACTGCGATTACTGCCTACCTTTTTTTTTTTTTTTTTTTTTTTGAGATCAAGCTCAAGATCGAGCTCGAGCTCAAACTCGAACAATCGAGCTGTTCAAGCCGAGCTAGAGATCGAGCATCAAATCTCGAACTCGAGCTTACCCAAGTTCGAACTCGACTCGTCTACACCCCTAGATGCACGCATAAACAAGCTGGAAGATAAGCGAGTCAAGGTACTCAGTGGGTTCAACGACATTCATACCGTACTTCATTTAACATTAATTAATTAACTAATTACCCCTCACATAAATAACGTTATCCTCTCTCCATCCTCTTTGAAAACTATAATTTTTTATTTTTAGATGGTCATGAGTTATTATATGTGAAATGTTTTGGTTAATTTTAATTCTCGATAAGTTTTTACTTTTTAAATTATAAAAATTACAATTATCAAATGAGTATATTAAATCTCAAATTAAAATTATAATATAATTAATTACATAAAGTTTATTGACACATGTCTTAGTAACCCACTAAAGCTCGGTATAAGAGTAGGGATGACGGTTCGATTTTAACAAAACCGGACATTATAGAAATTAAACTGAAATTCAAAAGATTTCGATTCCGTTTTATTAAAATTAAGAACGGGTCGATTCTGATTTTGAATTGGAAAAATAAATTTTAAAAATAAAAAGTCTGGTTTTTAAGAGTTTTTTTTTTTTTTAATTTTTTAAAAGAAGAGTTGAACTAGGGCCGTCAAAGAGAACTGATAGCCCCGCAGTTTAGCGGTTTATAATGCCTTATTGCATACAAGAAGGCAATATAGAGTCAATAGCATTAAAAAAAAGTCATTTGTTAATGTAAAAAAGTGACGTGTATATTGGCAAAATAAATTAATTACATATTTTTGTTTACATGTTTTTTTATATAGTAATTTAAAAATATTGTACTCGATAACTTAATTATATAAATTTCGATTTATAAAAAAGTTTGCAACCGTCATTTGCAAGGACGCTCAAGAAGAAGTTCACATTTCATAGAGGCACTTTGAGTGTAATATGTTTTGTGATCTAAATACGTAAATGAAATAAATTAACTTATATTATTTATAGATAATTGAGTGACATTTAAGAAATTATTTATTCCACATCTTTTATTAAAATAAATAAATAAATATAAGTAATAGATGCTTTCAAAAAAAAAATAAATATAAATAATAGATGAGCGAGTCCGTGGGTTCAACGGCATTGCATGTGAATGATGATCATAAATCATAATCATTTAACGAGTTAATGAGCATTTCTTAACACGCAGAGTTTTAAGCATAATTACATTGTACTTCATTCAACATTAATTAATTAATTACCCCAACGTAACTAACGCTCTTCTCTCAGTCTTTCCGCCGAGTACGAGGAGGAAACCCAATCTCTCTCAACATTCCATTCCAACTGATAAGGTGCCACGATTCTCCACACTCTCCTCCGATCTTCAATTCTCTCATTTATGATTTTGGGATTGAATCACTAGCTGTGCATACTCACAATTCCAATTTAGTTTTTCCCTATTCCCGTTGAATTTTGTTAATTTTCGAATTTTTGATTTGAATAATTATTTGCTTGAAATTTCAGTTTTCTGAAACAGTTGGTGGTGATTTGGTTAATTTTTATAACTTCATTTTGTAAAAGTTTGGAGCTTAATTGTTGCACTGCAATTCTTATGCTTCTATTAGCGTGGCTAAATGCTGAAATGCTTTTTATGTGTTTGTTTTGGAATAGATTTGATGTTTTTGTTCTTGAATTAATGCATCTTACTAACTTATGCTTTGTGGGTGAGAAGCAGCTTTATTGGATTGCAGAAGCATATTGGCAGAGCGTTGAGCAAAAATCCATCCGGGCTTAGTAGACCAGCTTCCAGTATGGGCTTTTACTGTTTTTTTTTTTGAAATTATGTTCATGAACAATCATAATGTTGTCCTAAAATGAATTGTAACTGGTTATGATTTTTTACAACCAAGCTCCCCAAATTGCGTGGCTGGGGCACAATGTAACCAGTTTAGTGTTATTTTACAAAGTTCTCGTTTTATAATAAGTAGCAATATCATGGATACTAAATGGTTGAGAAATAATGGGAAGAAAATGTAAAGAACTTGGCACTGGAACCATCCATTTGTTGTTGAAAGGTGCCACAGAAATTATTAAATTATGCCAGTGAAAGCTTGCATATAAGGTTTTTGATTAGTCTCTGGGATTCATTTTGACAGCCACTTCTAGTGTGCAAAAACACGTTGTTCTTGTAATATTCAATGCTTTGGAGTTATAGCTTATACATTTCTCGTACTGAAATTCATTCAATTATGCTTGTCTAATTCTTTTATGTAACAGAAGAAAGACAGAATCATTGTTAGGGGGAACATACGAGAACGATTTAAAGTTGGCTTAAGTGAAATTATGTCCAGATATTGCAGACCAGATATTGTAGAAGCTTGCTACAAATTCAGAAAATTCTACTTATTGTAGGAAATAATCTTTGCTCTCCCATTGCCTTGCTCGTTTAAAGTGTGCTTGTGGAAGTTGGAAACAGAGCAAGTCGTACACTCAATTTCACATAATGAGTAATCAAGTTTTTGTGTGAATTCCTCCATTTCTCCAACCGTTTTACAATTTTACTTACTTATTTCTAATAAGAATAAGTTTTCTGTTTGTCCATGGTATTCAAATAGGTAAAAGAAGATTAAACGAACTTCTGCGCCAAAGTGATAATCGTGTATGTGCTGATTGTGGTGCTCCTGACCCTAAATGGGCGTAAGTTCTTGTACCTGGATGCCCCTTGACTTTGTTAATTTGTACACACACGATACATGGTTGGATTATATTTGGCATGATATTAGGGATTAATGTGCATATTCTTAGAGATTGAATTCCGATCCTTACCTTAGTTAGTATATATCTTCTTGTATAAATATGTGTATTCTTGAGTTTGAAATATATGAAAAACATACGGAGTTCTCCATTTAACATCTTCAAATATGAGTTCTATCATCTCTTTATCCAGGATGTCAAATGACACCATTATTTTTATGTCTAAATGCATGCATGACTATGAAGAGCATTGAAGTGTAGCTCAAGGGAATTTCGAGTTTCTTTATTAATCATCTACACTGGATTGCAATGGAGGCATTTTGACACGTTTTTGCGTGTGTTCTGTGTTTGCTTTGATGCTTATATTATTTTCTTCACTTCTAGGTCGGCCAATATTGGAGTATTTATATGCTTAAAGTGCTGTGGCGTGCACAGAAGCCTTGGCACTCATATCTCAAAGGTAAGTTTCATTGTGCCGCTCCGTTTTCCTCATTTCCTTCTAGAATTGAGAATATAATAAAAAGTGGATGACATGCCATGCAACTGGCTAGCATAGAAACATGTGGTATGCCTTATGTTTACGTGCTTTTCTTGATCGTGAAGTTGATGTGACTATGCACCTTAGTTTGATAAGTGTGTTTCTTCATTTTGACATATTTATTCCATGTTAATGAGGAAATATGACCTGAAAACTCATATTTGGTGCTTTCATTTTCTTCATGTCAGGATTTTTACGTACTAATAGTGCAATCTGGAAAATTTGTGAATTCATTCTTCGACCTTTCTTTTTATGAATTCATAAACATTAAATTTGGCTATAGCTTTAGATTCTCCTTTGTATTAAGTCACCTCCTAACTGAAGCTGACTAATCTAGATCCCCCAAGATTCTACTTACAGAGTATACCTTTACATTTCAAGCAAGGTGTGTTATTAATAAAGCTCTGTTTCCTTCCCTTGTGAATACGTATCACAGAAATATGCAATTCTAAGTTTATCTATTTTTTTTTTCCTTCTCCATCTTAGAACTGCAATGCTGCAGGTTTTGTCCGTGACTCTAGATGAGTGGTCTGATGATGACATTGATTCAATGGTTGAGGTTGGAGGAAACGCATCTGCAAATTCAATTTATGAAGCATATATCCCAGATGGGATTAGAAAGCCTAGATTAGATGCAAGTCACGACCAGCGTTCTTCATTTATCAGGTTAGATTATGGCCCTGTTTGGTAAATCTGATAGCGGTTAGCTGATTGTGTTATTAGAGAGTATAACTAGTTGATAACATTAGCTGTTGTAGAAAAGTGTTTGGTAAATTAGCTGTTAGCTGATAACTGTTTGATATAATTTCTTTTCTAAAAAAGCTAATTGAAAAAGTTGCTTGGAGTAGCTTTTTGAATTTTAGCATTTTGGAGTTGCAAAAAGCTAATTAAGCCAAAATTGGCCTATAGGCCAATTTTTTACCAAACAGGGCCTATATGAGGAAATGTTGCTTTTGATGCATCTTTACTTTTGAGCAGACCCTAACTATAGGAGGCACCTTTAAGCCCGTACCATACTCAGATTAATCCCCATTCGCACCGGGACAGCCTAATTAAGGGGCAAAGTGCTGGCCAGATTGGTTTTTCCATATGAGAGGGGGTTCGAACGCCCGACCTCTCTTAAGGGATGATAGTGCACGGCCACTCACGCCAACCAAGCTGGTTATACATATTTATTTTGATCAACTAAATATCATTCTGCCCTTTGATTTAAATTCATCACCTGTTATTTCAACCTTTGAATAATGATTAAAATGAAGCAACAAATACACAAGTTTTATCTAAACTGCACAGCATGTGATGTAGGCAGTCCACTGTTTATTGATTTTTAGGTCTAAATATGAGCTTCAAGAATTTCTGAAGCCTAGCTTGCGGATATCATCAAAAGATTCAAAACAAAAGAAGCAGTCCCTTCCAACTGATGGTTGGAGTTCAAGTCAGAAATCTGTAAGTTCTTTTTTGTTTGTATGGACACGCACCAAATTTTGTATTGGCCGAATGAAAAGAATCATTAATTTCTCTCTGCTTAGGTCTTGACTTCTATGCAGCTAATATTGAACTTTCTCACAGGAAGGCATGGTGGAGTTCATTGGAGTCTTGAAGGTTAAAGTTTGTAAAGGGACAAATTTAGCTGTCCGAGACATGCTCTCAAGTGATCCTTATGTTATTTTGAGTATTGGGCAACAGGTTAGTTATTCTCTACTATGGGGACACACAATTTCAATGAGGAATTATTGACGTAATTAGTTATTGAGAATTTGTCTCATGTCCAAACGAAGAAAAAGTAGACTTAATCTTTGTGACTCTATTTCTTCTTTGGCTCTCTCTCTTTCCCTTCTTTTACTTAAAATGCCTCAGCTCCTATTAGCTATATGAACTTTGCTAGACTGCCTAACCAATTATAACCACCTAGGTTTGTTTTACTAGTTGTGTTGTCGTTTATGTTATGTGTTCCATGACTCATGCTTGGGTCTTTGGTTCCTAGAAAGCACAAACAACTGCGATGAGGAGCAATTTGAATCCAGTTTGGAACGAAGACCTCATGCTTTCTATTCCTCAAGATTATGGACCATTAAAGCTGGTAATAGTTTTCCTTCCATCTTCTTTTTACAATCATGATTTATTTTCAAATTATTACAACTTTTGGTCCCTTGGTTTTGCCAAAATTGACTAAATTCAGTCCAAAATACCCTCATTCTCACCAAACGTCCCCCTTCTTCATATTAGGACATTTCAAACATTTTAGACTGAATTTGGTTAGTTTGAAAAAGTTGTAAGATCAAAAGTGGCTGAATTGATAGGTGATGACTAAAAGGGGAAGTGTTATTATAGTCAAAGTGGATTTTTTTTAATTTTTTTTTTTTTTTTGACAATTTCATACCGGACTTTTATATTTTGTGACAATTATATCAATTTATACTATTCTTCCCAAAAAAATTGACCTGACCCGACCATGTTGAGTTAGCTATTAGTTGACAAGCAAATTATTTTTTAAAAATTACATCACATAAGCTAAAGGTCTAATAGTAATAACAAAAGGAATAATTCAAATCTCTACACATTGTAATAATTATGTCCAAATTATTTTACATTTGATAAATAAATTCTAAACTACTTTTTTTAAAAAAAAAATCTTTTATTTTAATAATGAATATCAATTTTCTTTAATTTTTTCAACATAATGTATCAAAGTGGTTGTGTGATACATTTAAAATTTTTAAACTAACTCTCAAAAGTGACATTCATTGTATACTAAATTAGGTTTAAACATTGTTGTCGTCAACTCTAGCATAGTAGGGTCAAGTCAAGTAGAGTTTTTAAGGTCAAAGTATAATATAATTGGATAGGTTTGAAGTGTCCCACATTGAAAGATTAGAGAGGCAGAAATGGTTTATAATGCTATGGGTTCAAGATTCGATTCAACCTTTTAATTTTGGTTTGACTTAAATGTGCTATTATCCATTTTGTTTTGTTAAGCTGAGATTGGATGTTGGAGTTTTCCATAAACTTTTATGCCTATGCTGTGTAGTTATTATACATTGATCACATAGGCACATAGCCTCAATATATTATTGCATTCTTAAAGGTCCATGGACTCGTGTATAACTTCATCACCACTTTAATGAACCTTCTAATTTATATGCATTTCAGGAAGTTTATGACTATGACACATTTTCTGCTGATGATATAATGGGTGAGGCCGAGATCGATATTCAATCTCTGATAACCTCCGCAATGGCATATGGAGATCCCGGAATGTTCAGTGATATGCAGATAGGGAAGTGGCTGAAATCACATGACAATGCACTGATCGAGGACAGTCCTATAAACATCGTCGATGGGAAGGTGAAACAAGAAGTGAAGCTCAAGCTGCAGAATGTAGAATCGGGCGAGCTTGAACTAGAATTAGAGTGGATGCCTCTTGATCATTAGGTGTATATAGATTGTTTCATTTTGACTTCCCCATCTTTCACTTGGCCATTTGTAATAAATGCTTTGCATGGATTTTGATTCTGAATTACTGCACCATAACTTGCTGTGTTGTACACTTATTTTTTCATTGTCCACAGAAATAGCTGTGTTGTACACTTATTTTTTCATTGAGACAGAAATGACTGTAGCTTAATTTTATGCGGACAGAAACAACGGTAGCTTAATTTTATAAAACAATGGAGTAAATGTTTCATCTCTAGTCTCTGTATATTAATTGCCTAAATCTTCTATGCCTTACTGCAAATGGTTCATTGTCGCAAATGTATTATATCTCTACTTTACTCCAAATGATTCATTATCTTTGACGCAAAAGTATTATATCTCTACTATTTTTAGGTATTAGTTACTTTGTGCATCATGAGAGAATTATTAAAAACATCTAACCATGCCTTAAAACCCAATTATGAAAACTTTTGTATCTCTACTATTTTTAGGTATTAGTTAATTTGTGCATCATGAGAGGATTATTATGAACATCTAACTATGCCTTACAACCTAATTATGAAAATTTTTGTGTAATGGTGCACCATCAGGAAAAGGTATGATTGAGTGTCGAGTCTAAGTTCGTAGTTATATATAAAAGAAGTGTGATTAGTTCAAACTGGGCTAGTCTCGATAGTAATTGATAGAGAATGCCACGTGGACATGTGGTCTTTCAAACATGGTTCCTGCATGGACTCGTTAAATGGTATATCTCAAAGCTAACACTTAACTTTGTTGGATGGATTACAAATGAGTCCCTTGAGGGGTATTTATACTCATTCCACCTCCTCAATGGATGGTGGAGATCTATTTGATCTTATGGCTAAGATATGTTCTCTAGAACAACCAAAAAGATTCTATAGGGTTCTAGAATATTCTAAGTATCTCTACATCCTCTAGTGTTGTGTACATGCCTCTAGACTTTTCTACAAACTATGAGATGCTATGTACAAGTGCTAGAAAGTTCTACTAGAGTGGCGTAGCGTAGCAAACCTCGGAATCTCGCACGAATGTTGTCCAGGCGCTACACAATGCTCTATAGATTTTTTTTAAAAAAATAAAAATCAAAATCAAATTTCAAGTACACAATAAAAAATGGTGGGAAATACACAACAATAATTGCATTAATTCACAACTCGAACAGAGTACCATGATTTACAAGACCAACCACAATGAACAAGAAGGGTCTACCAAGAATTTTATGAGAAATTTAGAGCATTGGACCATTCCCAAATGCAAAGAAAAGAAAAGCCCTGGCAGCTCGTTAACTCACAAAACCAAAATTATTGTGGCAATTCAAGGTCTGGTCTGCTGTCAAGTGCTTGAGCTGTTGAATCATCTGGAAACGCATCAGGATAAGTAGCCAAGATCTTGGCCTTCATGCTCCTAAATATTACAGGAGAGAAGCACGTAAAAATGATTTTCATAATGACATTCCCCAAAAAAATTAACACTCAAATATTATCTTCAACATGCAACTCCAACTTTAAAGTCTATGATAAAAGATGCACAGTAATTAAAAGGTTTTAAAATCCCATTGCATATCAAAGGTCCTAATCGTTTGAGCATCAATGTTATAACATCACATTTTCAAGAAAAAGTTTGGAGCAAGCAAAATCCATTTAGATATTCTATCTGGTTATATTTCAAACCATACAAAGATCCTCTTGGAGGCAATAAGCAAACTCAATCATCAGTTAGAAGAAACTATGATTATTACTCCGTAGTCTATAATGGATAATATACTATAGCTACAGCTAAACAAACATGCAAAATTTCTTAGCAGTACAGTCTGCAAGCAGGAGGAAAAACAAATGAAAGAAAACGTCTCATTAAAACTGAAAAATTCTTAAATAAATGAAAATGATCAGATGCTGAAATCCAGTTCGCAACTTGCAACTACCTGCCATATGCATCTAAATGGGTTACTCTACGTGAGGTATACCTTGCACCTATATGGTGTACACAACCCATTTTAACCGGTTCACTATTACACTGTCTTAGATGCAAAAAAACATACCTCAACTTCAGAAATACGTAATCAAGATCCGACTTCATAGTTTTCAAGAGGCGTGTATTTCTCGAGAAATCAGCAGAGACCTCACCAAAACAATGCTCTGAATAATCATTAAAGTGGGAAAGAACTGCATTGCTGTCCTGCAACCGGCCCAATCTGCAGTTCCAAAGTCATAGTTTCAAAAATTAAAAGTATCATGGAAAAAAACAAACAAGAACAGAAAACATATCATTTACCAGACATTGGCCAGATTTAAAGTTAAAATGCTATTAAAAAATTGAGAAACAGTAGTGGGGGGAAAATGTCCAAACACATTTTGCCAAGTTTATCCACAAAAGGACTCATGATCATGATCCTTCCACCTCATACCCAATACACTGTAGCTAGTCAAAATAACAATTCTTTACTAGTAAGCTTTGAATTTTGTTTACTGGAGGGAGTTGTTTCCATCATTCCTATATCTAGCATTAATGAATGCAGTGTATACCGATGAGTGGAACCTTAATTCATCAAAACTTGACATTAGGATCATAGTGAACAAAAAGTTCCCAGAAATTCATCCCAAAAAAACAAAAAAGGATCAGCCTTTAGACAAATCCGAGGAAGAAGAATTAACAAAAATAAATAAATTCCAAACGCTGAAAGAAATGGGGGTTAAAAACTGAAAAAGTACATGAGAAGCTGCAACTGCTTGAGAGAATCCAAATCATGGGAATCGATTAGGGTTTTGACCTCTGTGGATATCTCTTCCGACGCCGTTTTGATTGATTCTTTCTCCCATTCCTCCATCACTTTCCTCTTCTCAATCTCAGTTGTGTGAGAGAGAGGGATGGAGGAGGGAGACAGACGTCATACACAAACGATATTGGGCTTTTTACTAGTAATGGGCTTAATTTAATAATACCGGCCTTTAATCAAATGGTCGCCCTGACAAGTGACAACCCATTATAGGCCCAAAAGTAAAGCCCAACAAAAAAGAGTTGTCATTATTCTCTTCTTATTTTATTTTTGTTTAGAATAAGGAAGTTCACCCTTATTAATCGATTGTAGTGGTGTTTTTTTTTTTTTTTTTTTTTTTTTTTTTTCTATACTTATTTTTATTTTAAAAACATTTTCATATAGTTGAGCTCTTCAATCCAAAGCAGGTAATTGCTGGGCACTACACCCACACTCAAACTTTCGACCACTGAATTGTGTCCTAGGGCCGCAATAACGCCTACGAAGATAACACAATATATATTTTTCCACGTACTTGTCTAGAAATAGACTTACAACTGTACCTGCTTGTTTGAATGTTTCGTTACTGAGATACTTGTAATTTGCATGACAATGAATTTATTGGATCTGTGCCAAAAGTTGTGTATTTTTATATAAAAGTACATTGAGATTTAGATGACTGAGTAAGAAGTTTATTATTAACTTACACACAAATTAAAAAGAGAAAATTATTACAAATTTTGCTCGAACATACATAAGCAGCCGTTCTGAATAATCAGTACAACATAAGAAAACAATAATAGAAGCTATAAATGCTACAATATATGATGCTATAAAACTCCACAAAAATGTCTCTTTGAATGGATCATCATTATTCTGTATAATTGGCTCTGAAGATAGTTCTGTGCTAGAGTTGCTGCAGCTTTTCTCCAACAGGTGTCCACAAAGTAAAGGGTTACCTTCATAACTGCTGTTGTTGAACGTTAAGAACTGTTTCTTGTCTGGTATTCTCCCTGATAAATTGTTGAATGCCACAGAAAATATTGCCAGAAAGTTCAACTCTATCAAGTCTTGAGGTATTTGGCCATTCAATTTATTGTGAGACAGGTCTAAACATTCTACCTGCTTTAAGTTGGAGAATGTAGTTGGGATAGAGCCTGCGAAGTGATTGTTTGATAAGTTCAAAGTGTGAATATCACTCAGGTAGCCGATCTCATAAGGAATTGAACCAGTAAAATTGTTGAAGGAAAGATCCATTCCAGACATGTACTTCAGTATATTTCCTTTGTATGATTCAGACCTGCTTTTTGTTACAAATTTCACTTCTTCCTCCTCATCCGATGATTCATAATCGTAGTGCAAGTATGGACTTATTTGAAGCCGGCTTTCATATGAGTATGTAAGTAAAGAAAGATACAAAACCCATCCGTATCCATTAGGCTCAAGTAGAGTGGCATCAAAGGTTCTTTTGCTCCCAAATAGTACGTTGTGCAGGCAAGAAGGCAGAAATGATGAAAGATTATTTGAGGAAAGATCAAGCATGCTGACATTTTTAAGGTCACAGAGTTGGGAAGGGATAGAACCTTCAAGTTGATTTCCACCAAGGAGAAGAAACCTTAAATTTGAGAGTGAATTTATCCAACTAGGAAGTCTGCCAAATAAGTTATTGTCCCTCATGTCTAGTGTCACAAGTGAGGAAGCTTGAGACAAAACTTTTGGCACAAATCCAGTAAATTTATTATCATGTAAATGCAAGTATCTCAGTGATGAGACATTCAAACAAGTAGGTATAGACTCAGTAAGTCTATTTCTAGACAAGTCTATAAAGCCCAATTCCTTCACTTTGCAAAAGCTCATTGGTATAGGACCTTGTAGAAAATTATCAGATAAAACTATTGACTCGAGGTTTGAAAGGTATCCAATCCAGTCAGGAATCTTGCCTGTGATTGAGTTGTTGCTCAAATCTAAAAATCCCAAAAACATGCTATTTAGTAGGCCACGAGAGAGCTCACCCGAAAAACGGTTGTTTGCCAAATGTAAATACTCAAGGCTACTTAAGTTTGAATGTGTAGGAAGAACTTGACCATGCAAATTGTTATTTGCTATCTTCAAAATTTGCAAATCAGTACATCCTTGGACAAAATCTCCTGGCAATTCTCCTGTCAAATTGTTGTTTGACAAATCTAACAATCTTAGTTGTTTCAATTCCCCCATAGAGGGAGGAATACCACCTTGTATTGCATTTGTAGACATGTTCAAATAGGACAGAGTTGGAAAAAAAAACCAATAGAATATGGAAGTACCCCCTGGATTTGATTCATAGAAACATCTAACCAACTGAGATATTCATTCTTCGTTTGATGGTTGTTGTATGTAAAAGGCCCTGTTAGGAAATTGCCCGCAAGGTTGAGAAATTCCATATTTGAGTTATTGATGAGCAACCAAGAAGGAAATATTT